GTAGAGAGCACAAAACATTATAGGTTGGTGTGAAAAAAAGCAAATTGTAGAGACCAACTATTTGAAGTTGTGTTTTTTTTTATGTGACTTCAGCACTGTGTGGACAGTAGTGAAGACAGTGTTGAAGACTGATGGCCCCTTGGGTTTCTACCAAGGACTCACATCCACCATAGTGAGGGAGATACCAGGTTACTTCTGCTTCTTTGGGGCCTATGAACTGTGTCGGACTAAATTTGCGCAGTATAAGGGCACGGACAAAGATAGTATAGGTATGATAATTATTGGTCATTCATCTTTCATGAGTTGTTTCATTATTGCCGCATGTCCTTTTGTTTTTGTGTTCTGCCCCCACAAAAATAACGTTGGTCTTTGCAGGTATTCTTCCCCTCATGTTCAGCGGTGGATTTGGAGGAGCTTGTCTCTGGTTGACGGTTTATCCCATTGACTGTGTGAAGTCCAGGATCCAGGTTTACTCTTTAGCTGGGAGGCAAGAGGGCTTCATGAAGACCTTCATGGGTGTTATACGCACTGAGGGTAAGTTTTGAACGTACATACTCAAATAGAAATCCTTCTGATTCTGAATGGCTGAACAGTTATTCAATTCTCCCATTGATCTGTTGTCTTCTTAAATATAGGTTGCAAAGCTGACTGTTTTACATCATACATCCTTATAATCAGTGTGCAAAAGAAAACAACTGTATAATTTGGCTTTTTGTGAACTACCGGTTCTGTAGAGAAAAGTGTTGACTCAAACACAAAACAGACTCTAGACTCTTCTCTCATTCGGTTCATAACCAGTTTAGACATTCAAATCAGAAACAACCTCTTCAGAGACATAATTCTGCCCTTAAGAGGACAAAAAAGGATTATCGAACATTTGTGTTAATGCTGTTTCATTCTCTTATACATCTGGGGAAAACAATGTTCTTTAAACACAGTGAGACTTGTGGTTTTACATTTCCAATATGCACTTTATTTTCTATACTGATAGAATAAACCTTTCAGGGAGTTGTTTTCGGTTGGCATTTTTGAGAGAAATGTCGGAGTGACCGGCATCTGAAAGTATTACAAATTATTTACACATACAGTATCTGTTCATGGCTGTACTGTCTCATGTTGCAAGTAGATGTACATAATAAGAAAAAAGCTATCCGGAAATATTCAAATCATCCAATTAGGTCATGAAGGAGGGGTAAGACTGACACACATCAGATTTGTTAGACTTGAAAACAACAATGAAGACACCATTGCATAACAAGTCGTAATACATGAATATTAGTATGTATAAAATAAAGGTTGTCCAGCATAAGAAGAGAATAGCTTGCGGATGTAGAGATTTGAATATTCTCCATGCACAACAACATTAAAGCTGTAAAAAAGTGAAAAACAAGGAAGCAAGAAAAAGGTAAGATTTATGAAGGAAGTGTACATGCTTAATGTACTTAGTCACAACCACATGCACTACCATCTGCACCATCTGTTGCCATGATGTGGAGGATAACTTGGCGTCAGAGTGTATGAAACACGTCTAATAATTGATTTAGTACATTTAGAAGATAATACATTAAAAAGGCCAAAGCTTGACACTGACATGATTATTGACATGTCACAAATGAAACTACCCTTACCAATCACATGGAGCTTAGGGAGGGCACTTCAATCAAATGTCACAATTTCTATGTGGGTTTTTGCAATATTGTTCGGGTCAAATCTGACCGCTTTACTACTCTCATCAATCATACAAATATTGTATTTTACATTTAATCGATTAAAGGCCTTATGATGTCCTCCACAGTAGGCCTTTGGACATGTACAATTGCTGATCACCACTTTCACAGAATTTTGAGTGGTTAAATCAACTTTCTTAATCCTATTGTGTTCCCGGTCAGAAACGACAGCCATAGGGAATGAATGGGTAACCCTAAATTATGTTCATCAATCAGATAGTACACACCCACAAATCGACAACCATGTTAATTTTGGAATACATTTTCAGTGTCTATTCTATGTATTTTCACTGCAGTTGTTCGTGTAAACCAGTAGTCGGAGACATTATTCACAGCTTTAAAGGTTGTTAAATAAAATGTAGGGATGGTTAATGTTTTTTGTGTTAATCTAAGAGCAGTTGAAACAGACCGGTCAAATTGGACCGGTCACCTCCACCAGAGGAAGGGTAGAGAAACGAACACAGGAGAGTTAAATAGTGGCACATCTTTACACTTCAAGCCTCTTTTTGTAAGCAAAAACTATAAAACTAGCCCTGAGTGTGTCAAAAGGAGAGCTGAAGAGAAAGGCTCTGAATGCACCACTGCTGGTATAACTGACACACTGTAGATGAATCTTGTTTCTAATTGGCCCGATCTGGGGGCCTGACTCCTCAGCGGGGAATGACCCGTGTGGCTGCTTCTCTCTCTCCTGTCCCACAGGCTTCACTGCTCTGTACTCAGGCCTGACTCCCACCATGATACGCACCTTCCCTGTCAACGGAGCCCTCTTCCTGGCTTACGAGCTCAGTCGCAAGTTTATGATGGATACGGCTGGTTACTGATGTGTCTCCACACACAGAAAGTATTGTGCTGAAACACTCTCTCGTCCTTGTGTATTTTTAAAATGAAATGACTTAGATTGTGTCTTAATGTTTGATTAAATGTCACTTAAAAATACTGAAAATACTTTTGGTATGGATGTATTTGAATATGATAAACACATTTTGTGCGGTGCTGGCCACAGTGATTAAAAAAAATAAAGCTTTAATCAGTATATCCACAAGTATTAATGTAGTACTTTCCCTGTGAATATGTTTGAGTGAGGCCTGGTTTATACCTCACCACACATGATGACCTGAAGGCAGTTCAAGCTGTTCAGCTGTTCTGCTTGGCCATATTAATGATTACATTTACTTTAGAAGAACTCTGTTAACCTGACAAAAAGCTCATTATTTTTCACCTAATGTTGAGTTCGAATTCAATACAAAACGAGCAAAAAAAATTAGATGCAATAAAAATCTGACTAACAATCAGATTATGAAAGCATGTGCAACCACACAACCTCTTTAGCATTTCTTCTTTTTTTAACCTTCTGTTTGTTAAAAATACTTTCTCACCACAAGAGGGTACTGTTTGCACTAACATGGAGACCTCTAGCAACAGGAAAAACATGCATGCATGTCAAATATCTGTTCAAAACCATACCTTTGTTACATTAATTGTGGTCTGAAATGAAGTTTCGTAACAGTAAAACTACGACAAATAGGAGTAAGTGATATTCTTTCTGAAAATAAATGCAGCTGCTAAGAAATGATGGTGAAATCTACAGTATAACACATTTGGCTTCAGAGCTCTTACATAGTCTTTATTCAGCTTTTGTTAATTTTTCCCATTTACAATTCCTAAAACTCACAAATTGATCAAGATTGCACCAAACCCATAAACTTCCATACATTTTACAAGAGGTCAAAGTGAGCCTGTTGTCTATTGTGGTGAACAACTGAACCAGATTCACATGCACTCATCATGAAGCGTACTGCAGTGTGCAACTGTCATGTGATGAAGTATCATGTGGTCAATTAAAGACACCTCACTGAGAAATGATGGTAACCAGCAGCTCACATGTCAGTTGTTACGTCTCCACAACTCAAAATCCATTAGTACAGTACAGCTTTACATCAGAGAATTAAGTAATTTTGTCTGGCTGTTTAACATCCTTTATTTGAATATAGACATTATGGAAGGAGGGGCTCCGGAGTTCTGCTTCCTTTTCTGGGGAAGTTCTGCAGCAGCAGCAGCAGCAGGGCGCCGGCGCTTTTGGGTTAAAGTTGGCACCTGGAGAAGGACAGCAACACATGAGAAAAAGTCAGGTTCCAGTAAACATCATTAACATACTTTTATAATCTCAAAAGAGGAGCATTTACATCAGATACTCTGCAGAGGATTGCTTTGTCAAAATAAAAGGATCTTAAGGAGTGCATTGAGAACAATTAGAAAAATGTAATGTGTCACCTGGTCATCCCTGCAGCCTGGACACCGTCTGGAGGCTGCTGGTGGATGTGGTCGCTGTTGAAGGCTGAAACTGGAATAAAGACTTTTGGACTGAGGCTGGCGTTACTGATTAAAAACAAAATAATTCATCAGATATGTGACATTTTAAGAATAATGTCACAGTACAAATATCCTTCACCTTAAACAACAATACTTAAACGTATACTTAAACCACGAAAAGGAAACAAACACAAACTACATTATTTAAACCTTAAAGGGGACCTATCATGAAAAATGCACTTTATGTCTTTTATACATAAATATGTGTCCCCAAATCTCTAAAAACGGGGGGTACAACGGAGCTGATATAGATTTGCGTCCGATATGACGTCATATCGGAAATGTGGACCCACGGCACTATCAGAAACTTCGCTATCAGAAACAATGCCCGACATTTTCTTTGGACGTAATATGGTCTTTGTTTACATTAGCAAGCATCGCTAACACTCAAAGCTAAGCTGTACTGGAGAGAGTATGTATAAAAAAGAAGGAAATAAAAAAAGGAACTCACCTTGTGGTAAACCCGCAAGAGAGAAAGCATTTGAGCTCCATACTGTTTCAGAAATAATCCTTGATGTGGTTTGGAACATGATATGGCATTTAATCACGGCAGCATTTAGCTGTATCTCGTAAAATTCTGAGCAGGCTCAAGCTCCCCTTTTTTTTTTCAAGCTAAGGACCCAAAATCAGCATTTCTCTAACAGGGCTGACATAGAGGGATATGAGGGATGTCTACAATGCATGATCTGTTTGGTATTATGAGCAAAACACATCATAGACATGTTCTTTTTATATATTACATTTTGTATATATCTGAGACCCATAATATATGCCTAAAAATAGCATAATAGGAGACCTTTAAAACTACAAAACATAAACATAAACAACAAAACCATGAGAAAGTAGGAGAGCATGATCACATCTCCTTGTGCCTGTACATGCTCTCATGTTTCACGACTTCGATGCCACTTATTGTTTATTCATAAGCTGCACTCAACAGGTGTCCGACTCAGACTGGGCGTGAAGGTTAGAGTATAATGGAAGAGCACAGGAGCTAAACTTTGAGCTTTCAAACACAGGAGCCATAGACTGGTTTGGCTCTGTGGTTCATGTTACCAGTTGGCACTACAAGGTGAGTCCAAGAGTCACACACCAAGTAGGGGGTATGCGTTTACGTGTGTCAGATGATGAGGGGAGGGGCCAGGCCACACCCAGCAGGGAGAACAAACAGGTAAACAGGCGCTGCACTGTTTCACTTGATCCATCACTCCGACAACAAACTCACTAATGACCTCAACAACGTCCAGCACAGCGGAGATGGTTACACAGGATAAACTTCAGATTGCTGTGGAGAATGTGGAAGGTAAATACTTTTTATGATCCATCAAAAAATGAGTCTGTGACTGTCATTAAATGAGGATTAAAATGCCAGGGATAGCATATTGTGCTTTATAGGGATCAAGGAGGGATGTCACTGTTTATCAGATAATCAGAGATGACACAATTCTTTGGCACAAAACTAACTTCAATTGTTTATAAAGCATTTAGTTTATTACTTTATTTTGTTTTCAACTGTTTAATTAAGTTAAATTCCATTTCCCATTCTTAATCCAAGTCTTTGCTTGTACAGTATTGGTGTTTCTATATTTTGTCTTTTTGCACAAATTTGCAAAAATGTTGATGTTGCATGCAATTTAATTTTTTCGCATCTACTGTTTTTTCTTTTTAATTAATAAATTATTTATCAAGAACAATATAATCATGATACTATAGATTATTAAAATTAGTGTTTGTTGCAGCCCTATACTGACTGAACAATCTACCCTCAGACTTTGAATGCTTCCTGTAATATCCTGTCTGTAACTAAAGGAGACAACTACACCACAGTGTGAGCATTATCAGGATGGTACATCAATAGTTCAGCAGCTTACCCTGTCACTCCGCTAGATGAGAAGTAACATGACTTCCCCTCAGATATTAATTACATTGTTAGTGAAAAATGAGAAGGGTGGAAATGACAACAATACATGAGGAACCAAGGTGCCATGACAACTATGCAAAACACTTTTCCTCTCCTACTCTTTTCTCTCTGTACAGATAAAAACTCAGGAGGTTTGGGATGTTTCGGCTGGCTGTTGGTCCTCATATCCCTCCTCTTTGTTACAGCAACCTTCCCAATCACATTATTCATGTGTGTTAAGGTACAGCATATTCTCAGTAATGTACACTAGTTTAGAAAATGTCAGTTGTGTAAAAATTGTTGGTAGGTCAGAAATCCTAAAGCTAATGCTTAGTTGATGACACAACTCTAGTAAATGTGTAATTTCAGAATATCCGTCCTCCATTTTTGTATACCACAGACACTGAGGGCACCTAAATACATATACTAGCTAAGACAGGGTGACTGACCAACAGCATATTTAAAAACTGATCCATAAAAAAATAAATGAATCAAATGTGAAGATGGTATGTGTTACTGTAGCTCGGGAGAAATCATGATTTGATAAGATATAAATTCTACCTTTACGCCAATGGTTTTTCCCTTTTTTATGTTCTCTATATGGATGGCTGTGTTTCTAACATACAGATAGTGAAGGAGTACGAGCGAGCCGTCATTTTCCGACTCGGACGGATCACAGACAGGAAACCTAAAGGGCCAGGTTTGTCACTACATGAATACACAATGTGGGCAAAATGTTCTTAAAACATTCTTAAAAAGTAGTTACCTTGCTATGATCTAATATACTTTATCTACAATCTTTACAAACTGAGCATGGTCTTTATTTCCTTCCAGGTCTGTTCTTTGTTCTACCCTGCACTGATACTTTTGTGAAGGTTGATCTGAGAACTGTGTCTTTTGACATCCCCCCACAAGAGGTACGTTGTTTTGTTCCAGTCATGACCAAATGTGGGAATATCAGTTGTGTCTCTCCTGTCCATCATTAATGAAATCTGACTACCATCTTCCTGTGTGATCAACTTAGTAGCCGCATCATAACTGCAGCTTTGCACCTCTCAGATCCTCACCAGAGACTCAGTGACAGTGTCCGTGGACGGCGTGGTGTACTTCCGCATACACTGCCCCATCTCCTCTGTGGCCAATGTGAGCAACGCACACTCATCCACACGGCTGCTGGCTCAGACCACCCTGAGGAATGTACTTGGGACCAAAAACCTGGCAGAACTGTTATCTGACAGAGAGGGCATATCACTCAGTATGCAGGTGAGAAGTGAGGATTTTACATAGTCACTCTAAAAAGATATCAAAGTAATGGTTGAAAGAAATGGAAAATAGTAATTTATGTTCTGGTGGCCCCTATATTAGGTAAAAGAGACAAAGTAGGCCATTTCAAGTATTTAAAAAAAAATGCCATTAATGAAATCATAAAACATACTTAAAAAGTCATAGAATAGAATGTCATTAGGATATCAAAAAATGTACAGTGGCATAAAGTATGTCATAAAATATATATTTAAAAACTGCCTATATAGTAAGTCAGAAAAAGGTTACAATTTGCCTTAAAAAATCATAAAGTCAGAGTATATTATTTTATAAAACAGATTTTGAAATAACAGATACATTAAATACAAACAATCAGTACAATAGTATGTTATTAAAAAAAGTTGATAAAAAAACATAATTAAAATAAATAAACAACTAATTTCTGGAGCTAGCAATATTTAGCAACGTGGGCCAAGTATTTATTATTCTTTATTCCTCTGCAGGGATCTCTGGATGATGCCACTGACCCGTGGGGTATCAAGGTGGAGCGAGTGGAGATCAAGGATGTGAAGCTGCCTCAGCAGCTGCAGAGAGCCATGGCAGCCGAGGCAGAAGCCACTCGGGAGGCCAGGGCCAAGGTCAACAGGCGGAAGATTTATTTTCTAATTTTCCTCTAACCGTGAAATAGGATGGATGTTGATAGAAAACATTTGTAGAACTAATCTTGTCTGTCTGTGTTTCAGATCATTTCTGCAGAGGGAGAGATGAACGCTTCCAGGGCTCTGAAAGAAGCCTCCCTGATAATCGCTGAGTCACCCTCTGGTCTCCAGCTGCGATACCTGCAGACCCTCAACACCATCGCAGCGGAGAGGAACTCCACCATCATCTTCCCTGTGCCCATAGATATGCTGCAGAACTTCATGAAGAAGTAATATTTATATTATTACTATATAGTTATTTTGACTGTTATAAGCTTTAGTGGTATCTCTTTCAGATACTGTACGCTTCGTTATTACTTCTTATTGAAATGTTCCCTTTAAGATTGGCAAAATATAGAAAAGAACGTCATGCAATCAAAGATGTATCCACACTGGAAATAACTTTTGAACAAATGATGTTCTTATCGTGATTTAATACTTAAATACAAAGTGCAACATATACAGTGTAGACACACATTTCTCATCACTAACCACAATATTTTAACCAGCTAAACTACAGTTGCGGTTCTGAAGGAGGTCAAATAAATAAATAAATAAATAAAACAAAAGCACAAGAAAAGTAAAACAAAGAACAATGCACAACGACCTTATAAAGACATGCTTTCATATAAACCAGAGCCTCAGTTTCTGATATACTGAATACAATCTTAACCGTAAACAATCAACAGAAGTACCCACATCCACGTGAAACACCAACTTTTCTAATATTGGATGTAAACTGTAAACAAAACCTCATATCTAGTGTCAAACAAACAGTCAGTAAATGAGTAAAAGGTCATGTCCACGGGACACAGAGGCGATCAGTGCAATCGGAGAACCTGATGGAGAGGAAGGCCATTTCCACTCCACAGAACACAGTAAAGTTAAATCTATATCTGCCTTGCTGCTCATACATAACACAACTCACCTGCAAACATATCACTGCTTGATCATATTTCCACATGTTGGGGGCCTAGGGGATCTGATTTTTGTATTATATTATAGTATTAAAGCAACATTTCTTCAATGTATTTGTACATATTTGCTGATTGCACTTTGCTCTTTAACATATGTATACATATTCTGTACATTTCAAATCATATCATTCAATGGATTTCCTGCAAAACAGACATTTGAGCTGGGTGATTATGTAAACATGAGCAAAAATAAAAATGGGATTAATACCAAAAGAAAAAGATATGGCAGTTTCTTCCCTTTGCTGACTAATTATTCTCCACAATACCTGAGATTATAATCTAAAATAATAAATGAGGTAACCGCTTGCAGTTTTCGAGGATTGTTCTAACTACTTTAGATACATTTGTTCCCTACATACATGTTGGTTTTTACCTCTCAATAGGGTTTTTGCCAATTTTGAAGGTTCAAAAAGAGAAATATTGTATAAATTAGATTTTCACCTTATACAGTATTTGTTCGCAAAAAAGTGTACAGCAACAGATACAGCAACAATTTAAAAGAGAAAGAAAAAGAACTGTACAAATTCAACATAATGAACATATATTGGATATATGTGTTCAGGTCAATACTGTACATTTTGACAGCCATCAATTATAGACCACAATACAAGGTGGACTGCTGTGCTTAATGGTTTCCTCTTTGGTGGTATCTGCAGATCCTGCACTTGTGTGGGAAATCATTTTCTTTTCTTAACCTAACTGAAGCCAATCTCACATTCAAAACAATTTGTATAACACCATGATATCTTTTCTGTCTTCATTTGAATAAATCCTGGTGAGTTTTATTAAGAATAAGAGGTTACTTGTGTTGCCGTCTACACACTTCCTGCCATATTGTCACACTCTAGGTAACCTTAAAATAAAATGCATAACTGGAAGACAGAACATGCTTTAGAGAGAGCAATACATTTACACGCTTCTACAAACTTATAGTCAATAGTATAGTTGGCAGTTCAATGGATTTATGAGTTGTAATCATACATTTCAGGGTCATCACTGATATCTAGTTTCTAGGAGAGAGAGATAAGGTAGGATTGGTAGTCATTCATACACTCCTGATATATGAAATATTTCAGAATGAAAATGTTAACATACCCCAGAGAAGAATCCACACTTTGAGAGTAACCAGGTAGTTCTGTGATTTTACTCAAAGTATTGCCTGTGCCTAGATAGAAGTTGCTGGTGGGAGAGAATGGACGGAGAAGGCGCTTCTTGTGTTTGTCCTTGCACTTGTGATGTTGGAAATGTCTTGTACAGCCATCATCCAGAGCGCTGGATGAGAAGGTGGTGATGTAGATGGGGGGGGGGGGGGGGGGTAACATGGAAATGAGGCATGGTACTTTGATCCTGCTCTCTGAAGTCTAGAATGACTAAAATCCCCTGCAGTCCCACAGCACGTCTGTTCAGTCATTTGGAATAGAGAAAGATAATTCCCTTCTTTTTTATACAATTCTTTAGGTCAGAGTTGAAAAGTACTCGGGGTTGACTTTGGAAATGCACCACACGTGTCATCATGTCCGTCCATCAACATACTGCTAAATCCTTTAAACATTCAAGAAGAGTTTAACAAAATCATGGTTTCCGATGCCAGAAACAAGAAAGCGTTTGATACGATAGCCTCCCTGGAGGGTGTCATTGATGGTAGGAGTGAGGGCGGGCCGGAGAGCCTGGTCCGGAGAGGGGGCGATGGAGGGGGGAGGCGCTGGGGGACATGTGAGGGCTCAGTTCGCCTGTCTGAAGACGCCACAGCAGCTCCTCGTTGTTGCGACTCAGACGTTTCTTCTCGTTGCTCTCCTTCTCCACGTTCACCTGCAGGTGAGCATTATCCTCAGAGAGTTGCCTGAGGAAGAAAAGCAGTAGGAAAAGGTCAAAATACAAATGACTAGCAATGCAATCCTTTCAAATGCAGGAGTCAGGACTTTCCAACTGCAAGGTCACAGCTTTAACAGCTTTTCCCACTGCTTGTCTACAAATGTTCTCTCTATGTGCACAGACTGGATAACCCTTAAGCACTATATTGTACTATACATATTTCTAAGTAACATTTGGAGAACATCAACAGTTTTTATGATAAGATGCTGAATTTTGGCAGCAGAATGAAAGATTTCTGTAAGTACTTTTTATATTGTATTAATGTGCCATCTTAAGTCCACCTACATTCACTTCTACAGGTTAGAACTAGTTTTAAACATGTGTGGGAATTAACTAAGTACATTCACTCAAGTACTGTACTTAAGTACAATTTTGAGATACCTTTACTTTACTTGAGTATTTCCATTTTATGTTATTTTGTACTTTTACTCCACTACAACTCAGAGGTAAATATTTTACTTTTACTCCACTACATTTATTGTGTACCTTTAGTTACTTCTCAGATTTGGATTAATAATGGGAAATATATTCAACACTTTAAAAAGACTTTAGTTACACCTGGAGTAAATTCACAAGCTACCCTGCACTATACAAAGTAAAAGAAACGGCACCTTTACTAGCTTTGATACACACATTAATGCATCAATAATTATAATCAAAAGATAAAATATATTCTGAAATGGAACAATCTGCATAATGAGTATTTTTACTTTGGGTACCTTAAATATATTTTGTTAATACTTTTGTATTTTTACTTGAGTTACATTTTGATTGCAGGACTTTTACTTCTAACAGAGTATTCCTACACTCTGGTACTTCTACTTTACTCAAGTACAAGATCTGAGTTCTTCTTCCACCTCTGGTTTTAAATGTGCACTGGCATGCTTATCTGACCTGGACACAGCAAGGTTATTGTCAATTCTCTCCTTCAGGTCCTCGTTCTGCTGCTGTAACACTTGCACTCTCTCCTCCAGGTACACATTCTTTTCAGCCTGCTCGAAAACACAGGAGAAAGATGCACCACATTAAATTCTTTAAATGAGGTATGACATTATATTTCAGGTGTAACATGATGAAATGACAATTCGAGACAGAGACATTTATATTTGGGTTTATAGTAGACTAACAGCCTATTATTAGCAAAAAATCATTATATTGTATAGTAGGCCATACAATGTCATAGTGTAGTATGTCATAAAGAAAGTTACAAGTATATTATGTCATTCAATGTTTTATAAAATGTTGTCATAAAAAGTCATTGTATAGTATACCATTAAATGTCTTTAAATATGGTATATGGTATAAAGTATAGTATGTCATACAAACAAAAAAAGTCATAGCAGAGTATGTCATGAAGATGTTTTCTGTCATTTGATATCGTTATCTTAAACAACATTTTATGTGTTATTCATAATTGCAGCTAAATCAAACAGAAGCTAGACATCAAATTTGAAGCCTACTATTTTCTCCAGTTCTGAGATCTTTTGTTCCTGTTGATGGATTTGTTGATTCTTCATCTCCAGCACTTCTTTCAGACTCTTCAGGTCCTCATCAATGTGTTTATACGGGGCCAACGCATCCTGACAGCAGCAGACAACATGAGTCAAAACCAATACCAGTCTTAAAAACCACTTCACAACACCAGCAGCTCTTATTCAGCAAATGTGCTCAAAGCAGTCAGCACATGGCCCTGTACTGTTTCATGCAGCGGTTACCAATATCTGCTCATCGGTGCTCTTGCGTAGAGCTTCTTCAAAGCGCTTAGCTCGATCTCTCAGGCTGCGATTCTGAAACGTCAGCGTGTCCACCTGATCCTGGTGAACAGACACAAATTAAAAGGTTAGTATAAATAATGTATTTTCCCAAACGTTTTTTTTAGGGAGGACTGTTTACCTGCAGTGACAGTCTGATCTTTTGAAAGTCTTCTTCTAGAGATTTGGTCTGCTGTTCATGGGCCATCTTCAGATCTGATTTAAGTAAAAAATATGATATTATTTCTTTCAGCAGTGTGATTCAGTAGAGGAGATCAACAGGGTTAAAACGTGGCGCTTACTCTTCACAGTCCTGGCATGCTCCTCCTGCAGAGTGGCAAGAGTGTCGTCGTGAGCCGTCTCCATCTCCATCAAGGAAGCCTCATGATCTTCACTCATCTCCTCAATCTAGAGTAGGCACATGAGAAATGATCTTATTTTGGAGATTAGGTTTTCACTTCACATTTAGACATAAGTGTCCATCTGATATCCAGTCTTTATCTAAGCACACACACCTGCTCTCGCTGTTTTTTCCGCAGCTTCTGGAGCTCGGCCCTCTGATTGGCCTGCAGGCTCTGGCCCTCGGCCTGGTGCTGCGCCTTCAGCCGCTCCTCCAGCACTCCCAGCTCCTTCTGCTGCTGAGCCCGCAATCCCTGCAGCTCAGATTTGAAGCGGCGCTCCAGTTTCTCCTTCTCCTGCTGCAGTTGCTCCCAGTGTGCAACACTGAAAGCTGGAAAACAACATAGAGCTTCAGTTCGTTTCACCAGATCCAAGTTCAGATCACAAGTGACAAGAATATAAAATAGGTTAGAGTTGTAAAATGTGTAATTTATTTATTTTGTGTTATTCCTCCAAATGTTTTCTCTTTTTGCCCATTTTTGAAAAATGTTGGTAAAATAATTCAATTAAAATCCTGTAGCATTCAGAGTTTGTTTAACGTTTGATATGAAGCAATGATAACAGGGCTATATTTCACAGTGTCTGCTTTATGGAGTTATGGTTAGCCTTCCATCAGCAGAGCTAATTCCTCCCTTCCCTGTGTTAGTATACTGTATAACACGTCATGCAGAGAGCAGTGAGTGAGTCATTGCTGTATCCCACTTACCCACTTCATCCCGGATTCTGGCGAGCTCCAGGGACAGTTCCCTCTCCTTCACAACGGCACTCTCACTCTGAAACACATAAAGTATTGAACATCTCAGAACTGTATGAATAAACGTACAAACACCTACAGTTACACTGTAAGCCTGACAGCTTAAAATGTATGTAACATAATTAACAAGAATGTTTTTGGTTGATTATAATTAGTTACCAGGTTTGTGTACTAGTTAATTGTATTCCAATATACTGAGAGGTGTGTAGTATTTTGTCGAAGGGAACACTGCTGGACACAGAGCCACTGTGCTACACTTTAAATAATCCAGCATGAAGAAAAGAGAGAGTCTGAGATACGGTATTTGGAACCCAATATGTAAGCAGGAACATGTGCATTAAACAGGACTAAAGGTCACACACAGCTCCGGTCTACTGTACTTTTGATAAGATTTAGATAATTAACAATGTTGTGCTGCGTGGTGCTCGCAAATCATAATTGAGCAAGACCCATGAGCAATGATAGCAACATGGTTTGTATTATGTATGTGTATAATGAGACCTGCATACAAATTACTTTCTCTGAAACACCACAATTTCACATCAGTGTATCATCTAGTTCACCATGGATCACAACAGGTAAGGGTCTCATAATTCAAGGCAAGTTAGGATTGTTAAAAGTGGGGTTGTTTAAGGTACTTTTCCATAGTAAGTGTATTAAATACAGTAGATGACAGTTGGCATGTTAGAAGAAGCAGACAGTAGGAGCAGGGAAGCAATGCACTACTGTGGAAGTCACCAGAAAGAAAGCCTAGCAGCCGGAATACGGTTGCTGGTCTACTGCTGCCTCAATTGGTTATTTTATTTGTGTTATTCTGTGAATTTGGTGTTTTAAAGAGTTACTTCAGATTAATCAATGTCACACAATAACACACACACAAATGGATTGATGGATCGTGGACGTTTAGTATTCTTTGAAGGAATATTACTATTTTGTATCATGGCTTCTGTTCCCTGTCAGATATGACTTACTGTACTGTACTGTAAAAAGTACTTCATACAACCCCACTTCAAAACATGCAAACTATCCCCCTGTGCTTACAATAAATGCTTTATGGTAGCCTGTAGGAGTATAACATTGTTGAAAAATTATACTCTGAAAAAACCCATTATACATGATTTGCACCTCACAGGTGTACACTGTGGACTCATAATATGTGACACCCTCAGAGCACCTATTACTCACAGAGGAAGACACACCATACACTAAATGGCTATTGATCTTTTAAGTTATGCACACTGTTGATCAGTGACAGATAGCAGTGCATACGAGAAACAAAGAAAGAGAGACACAGAGAGCAGAGGGTAAAATATGTATGAGAGACTACACAGTATGTCTCTGCAGTATTGATGTCATCCTTTAAGAGGTTTTACTTGGAGCATACAATCATCAGGGAGAAAATGCCATGACCTCATGAGGGATGAAGGATGGTCAGTACGTTTTTTTCCATGTATTACTCCTCAGCTCCACCTTTGCTCTTACCCACCATTCCCTCTGTCTGCAACGCCCATCCAATTTAGTTCTCCAGGGAGTTGTGTGACATGAATTCTAATTTTCCCATCTGATATTCAGCCCTCAAAGAGGTACCTAAATAAATGATCAGGGCTGCAACAGATTATTGTTTCATTATCGATCATCTTGTTGATTATTTGTGTGGTTCCCGATCAATTGTTAGGTTAGCTAATGTTCTAGCTAATGTTTCTTTGATTCATCACAAATTATAAATGGCTTGTCAATAGTGGTGTTTATCTTTTTGTGTCTATTGTCTAGAGATTTGAGTGTCACTTTCTGGAAAGCAATAAACATGGCTTGTTATTGTAACGGTGCTCATTTTCCATGAGATACTGTCATGAGTTAATCAATACATCAATCCAGTTTCAGTGGAACCATAAAAAGCCTCCCAAAAGTGCATTTGCTTTTTTGTTTGGACTTAACAAAATGCAGGCTCCAGTGAACAAACAGGAAGCTGAAACGACATCATTATTCTAAAAAGAGAACCTGAAAGATGATTTCCTGTAGAGGATAAATTCAGCAACATCAGGTAAACATGTCACTTAGACATTGAGAGGATGAGCCCTCCTATACATTCAATAACATGTAATCACCCAGACTACTCCATCACATACAGTTAGGACACAATGTACACGGCGAAATAGCAAACAAGTGTAAGGTTATAGCAGAGCATTAATAACATGTTATGTAATGCCTCAAACTCTGAGGGAAAAGATAGAAGGACAGTGTGACACACAAGCCTGCTTTGACTCAGCATAATCATGCACAGCTTTACTCTCTGTTCTCCAGCTCTGTCTCTAGGTAACAACTGAATGTAACGCTCACATAGACAGACGCACTCAGACCCCCCCCCCCACCCTCACTAAACACACATGCGCACAACCACACATATAGCACATAGCCTGCTGCCTGCAGAAGATGTACTGCCTTTACCGTTCGGTCCAGGAAGCACCGAGGGAGGATATGGAGCCTACAGCAGCAATGGCCCATTCCAGGCTAGCAGACAGCAGCATCCCTGAGCCCAGTGAGGAGGAGGCAGCAGTGGCAGATGCGAGTGCCAGAAAGATACAGAAAGAGAGACATAGGGGGAGGTAACCAGGCAAGGGATGGGGAGGGGAGGAGAGAAGGGAAGACCGAAGCCTCACCTCGTGTCCTGGTTTGCGACCGGCGTTTATCCCTGCTGGAACAAAGACTGCCAGCCCTGCCCAGATCTGCCTGCCCTCCCCTCAAACCCCCACCAACACGCCCAGAATTACATTTACTCGCATGGCAGCGAGCAACACACACACATGCACAGGCTTTTGCATCTTTGAGAAAAAAACAAAAAGAGTGGAGCCGGAGAAGCAGGGGGAGGGAGATGATCAATAAGTGACCAATTATCTGCTCTGTTACTCAGCTTGGAGAACACAGCTACACGCAGACATTTTGATACATACAGAAAACACGCTTAATGAATATCAAAGTACTCTAGAAAGCACTGACTGAAGCAAAGTGTAGCTTTGGATGAAATGTTTTTGTTGCAACAAGAACACTTCCCATGTATTGGCAATATATCAATACTATAATGATAGTGTGATATGAGACTTAATGTTGTCTTACATTTCGGATATCGTGATGTCACATAGTGTCTCTGAAAAGCTGCATTACAGTAAAGTGATGTAATACAATGAATTGTACATACTGTCCTAGCTGTTATATCATTTGCTTTTAACCACTTAGTCATTTAATCCACATAAATACAATTTAAATGGTTTTGTGTTAGTATTTTGTGAAAGCAAAGGATGTTGAGGTATTTGATGTGTTGTGTTATACCCAACCCTATAGAGTATAAAGCTATTTCTTTGGTGTTCTATTTCTCTTACACACTGAACCCTCTAAAGCCTCATCAATATGTTATCAATGCTTGTAAACATCTAAAAAAATCCTGAACAGAGTCAACCAGTACTGATAAACAGTGGTGCTGGATGGACAGGCTACAGGAAGACATTGAACACATTGGAAGACATTGGACAGTATTTAAGGTCAATACATCTAAAATACCGTTCTACACTGCCCTTTAATCATTATAAGGGATTCAAAATCCAATTAAAGGAACATTTTAAAGGGGAGCCTAGCTGTCTTCCCCCCTCCGACCTTGAGTACTCTTTCCATTAGACAATCACTCTCAGTCATAGCACCGCGAGGCACAGGCTGGCAGCTCTAATCTCATATATCATCTCCTACTGTAGAGCAGAACCCGTGGGTGGTGCTGGGAAATGGAGGCAGAGGACCAGGAAAGGGCAATAAACAAGAGCTTCATCCATACTCTAGATGCACAACACACACCAACAACAGAGATCATCTTATACAACAGCAAAATACGCTTGAGACGTACCAATTCAGATATTTAAAATGGATAACAAATGTGTTTGTATCCCATTCACTCGACAATTCAGCAGTTTTAGGACAGACCTGACATGAAAGGCCAGCCAGCTCTATTGAATACATTCTAATTTACTCAATGAAGATATGAAAAGCCATTATACATCAAACATAATTTCCCTTTGAATGAAATGGAAAAAAACACCATTTGTATTTCCCCTCATCTTCCTCACACATTTTACTGACACATCCTTCTGCTTTGTAGGTATTCCCAACGTATTCAAAGTGACAGGCTATGTGAACAAAGTAAAGCTGACATCAAAAGCTAGATGCTTCAGGTGTAGTTGGTGCGTAGTGCTTTGTAGTTGCATTCTGACGCTTGCAACAGCTTTCCCTTCCTACACGGGTGTATTAGCCCGGAACATATCTGCAACAGCAGGATTAACTAGCATGCACATTTTTGATATGGACAAAAGATAACATATAAATACAGGATTCTGCATGACACTTTTCTACCCTCTGTAAATAAGACATTCCTTTATTCTTTATTCTAGAAGCTGAAGTGAAACGCTATTACTGTTATTCCTTGTGGCATGAAAACCAACCAGTAACCAACCAGCAAAGATCCATCCATCATGATGCATGTCAAATTCAACTTGTCAAGTTATGCTTCTGTTCCACAAAAATGTAAATGCAAACAAGGGCTGTTTTGACCTTGGCTAATTACAAAATAATTGATATTAAATATCTTTAAATCTCTCAAAATGCATCCCTTCTGAACCTCCAACTTTCTAATCTTGGAATTGATCAAATTCATGACATTAATGAGTTAATTTATCAGAAATGAAAGCCATGGTATACTGGGATTAATATCGTGAATGAATGACTTGTCATAGCTTCCTAAAACAGAGCTAAGAACGAAGGGGACTGGCTGTTTTTAATGTAGGATTCATTCAGGTTTGGACTTTAAAACATTTAACGGGGCTCTCAAAGTGATGGCAAGACCAATATTGCTTGCAGGTCAACCCGGTGGAGTTCACAGAGCTCTGCTGTAGCCTACCTTGATACAGAAATGCTGGGTAGTGATGCTGAAAACGTCCAGACACAGAGAGGCTTTCTTTAGCTGGGCCTGAAGGCTCTGAACCTGCAGGTCCTGCTGCTCACAGCGCTCCCTCAGCTGCTGGATCAGAACCCGGTCCATCTCCTGGGCCCGCTCAGTCCGAACAGCGCCGTGAACTGCTGCCGTCCGCCCCCGAACTAAAGAAACAAAGAGCAGGAGGACAAAAACAATATGATGAAATGTTTTCACTCATAACAAACTTAATGAAATACAGACACAATAACCAAGTATACCATATGTATTTTATTAGAACTAATCAACCATTTCTTCTTAAATAATGCACCAGCAAGTAAAGATCGAGAGTGAAAATTACAGACATTACAATACGTCATGTAAAGGCCAATTATTAGCTAGTTTCATTCAGAGTGTTGTGTTCTTGTCTCAGTTTTATATCACATTAAATTGAAATATTGTGTTTTGTTTTGACTAATGACTTTCTTTGAAACAATACTCCACCTCTTATTTTTTTTACCTTTAGAAAATAATTAATAGACAAAAACAGAATTAACATTGATCAATATCCAATAGCAATACTAAAAAGCAGATTTATACTGCAGATACTATTAGCAGTTGGTATACTCTCGTAGCTGTAGAAATAAAGCGCTGATTGGTTGGAGCCACAGTGGTTTATATCCTCCCACCTGGTGGAAAATTGTCTTTCTGTTACTCAAGTCATCTCACTGCTCATCAATGAGCTGCCGTTTCCTCCTCATATCTTAACAATCATAGTGGGAAAACATGAGTGCATCATGTGAGCAGTAGTGAAATTGAACTGTAACTCTACCCAGCTGATAATCTGTCTGTGTGCTCTCTGGGAAAAGGACAAATGCTGACTTGTTGTGGTAATCTGACCCAGCAGGGTTTTCTACTGAAAGAGCCATCCCAGCATTACTGCTCCTGTAGCTTGTTGCTATGACAACAGCAGGCTGCCATGGGTCTTGTAATGAAGCGTTGAGAGAGAGAGAGAGAGTGAGTGACTGTACAATTTAAAGGTACAGTAGCAACTGATGGTGCTGCATTATTGCGACTGCTGCTTTACTCCCGATGTAGCACTTAAGAAAAAAAACATACCATATCAGATACATACTGGATGAGCATACAATTTGTATTTACATTAACATTAATTATTGCAAGACTTACCAGGGGACTGTGGCTTTGGCGAAACCACAGCAAATCTTTTAGGAGAGGACTTTGGTGCAGCCTCCATGTCCTTCTGCATCTCTCTCCTAGAGGCTGTGCAGTAAAGAGACAGGTTAATATGTTATAGAATATATTTGAAACAGGAGAAATACACTTGTTTTCTCTCATAAAGATTTGTTCATAGATAGATTATTGTCACATGAGTTACAGTTGAGGTATTTAAAGGCATCATTATAGTATTTTCTATTTCATGAACACCCTTTTATAAGACGCCGTAGACATTTTGTTCTTATCTCACATTTAAGATAACATGCAAAACATGAAGGTTTATAAATGGTTTCCTATGTCTACGATTATTTTTTGCACCTTTTCAAAGAAGATTAAATTAGGTTCCATTTGACCTGCTACAGAAATTCAAATGTTGCTTAAAATGAAAGGGCCACACATAATTGTTATTCAGTAAAACATGAAAACAAGGTACTTTTTGTGCTATTTTGGAAAATTAAAGTACTTCTTTAAATCTTAAAGAATTTTTCTGGATATTTTTGGGATATTGTTAAAAAATTAAAATAAACATATATAAACAAGATAAAGATGAGGACAATATGGTACTGTAATAATCATAATATGGTACTGTATGGCTACCATCAGTGTGGTAGCCATAATTTACACACAAGATTATTTTGTTGAGCCATTCATGTATTACTGTAAATCGGTATGAAGATGAAAAACATGATATAGTAAAACAAAAAGCTGTTATTTTTTAAACTTTCCAATATTTGATTTCGACCAGGGAAACATACACATTCTTCTTGCCTTTACATTATTCTATTGAATTCATCTGAGAAGGTGAAATCAATCTTTTGTCTCAAAGTTTAAAACCAAAAAAGGTTGGGAACTACTGTATCCCATAGTTGGGGAAGGGTCTGAGTGAGGAGCAGTGTGGTACAGTCAGTGACCACCAGCTGGAGTCGCTGCTCCACTTGTTCACACAGGCTCTGTGGCAAGAGGCTGAGATGCTCCTGGCTCTCACTGAAACACACTCTGTGCCACTGGATGGTGCTGATACTCCACATTCACTGTAAAGGTGCTAACCATACAGTCTATGGTGCTAACACAGGCCACAAGGTGCACCAACCAACAACAAAGACGCCTACATCAGCAGAGAGGGAGTACTATATGATACTGTATCAGTGATGTGTTGCAATACAAAGCAACAGTAAAATGCATTACAGCAGGGCTCACTTTTATAGGTTAATTATGTTTCATGTTGCATTGCTTTTTTCAATCTAAAATAATATCTCTCACTGGGAAAGGGAAATGAACACTGGGCGTGACGCGCCTGTCAGGAGGAACAATCAATCATGCTGTGGTGCTATAAAATCTTTATCACCATGAAGATGCTTTGTGGTTCCACCTCAGCTTCAAATTCTTCCAGCTCATTTTAGAGGTTTTATTTATTTATCAAAACACATGGGGGGAAATAAAAAGAGGATTCCTGGTTTTGTCTGTAAAGTCCTTTAATGATTATTTTGTGCTAAGATACGTAATTCTAATAATCATGTTTAATTACATGCAGAGACAACCAGGCTACTAATTACATTACATGACATGTTACTTGTTAGACGCTTTTATCCAAAGCGACTTACATTACATTACATTGCATTACATTGCATTACATTACATTACATTACATTACATTACATTGCATTTAGCTGACGCTTTTATCCAAAGCGACTTACAATAGTGCATTCGACCAAGAAAATACAAACTTGAAGAAAACAGAATCATATAAGTACATCAGGTTTCATAGAGCCAAAACATTTCAAGTGCTACTCAGCTGGCTTTAGATAAGCCAGTCCTTTATTAGTATATAAGTGGTTAGTAATTCTATCGCTCGAAGTGGAGTCGAAAGAGATGAGTTTTCAGTCTGCGCCGGAAGATGTGTAGGCTTTCTGCTGTCCTGATGTCAATGGGGAGCTCATTCCACCATTTTGGAGCCAGGATAGCAAACCGACGTGTTTTTGCTCGAGCCGTTTTGGCTGATGCAGAGCGGAGTGCATGTGCTGGGGTGTACAGTTTAACCATGTCCTGGATGTAGGAAGGGCCAGATCCATTCACAGCATGGTACGCAAGTACCAGTGTCTTGAAGTGGATTCTAGCAGTTACTGGAAGCCAGTGAAGGGAGTGGAGGAGCGGTGTGGTGTGGGAAAATGTTGGAAGGTTGAAGACCAGACGAGCCGCTGCATTCTGGATGAGCTGCAGAGGTCGGATGGCACATGCAGGAAGACCAGCAAGGAGGGAGTTGCAGTAGTCTAGGCGTGAGATGACGAGAGCCTGGACCAGAAGTTGCGTCGCTTTCTGTTACATACTCAATACTGTGGGCAATCCCCACAGGAGCAATTTGGGGTGAAGTGTCTTGCCCAGGGACACAACGACATGCTGACTGCAGTGCGACTCGAACTTGCTATCCTTTGATTCAAAGATCAGCGCACTAACCCACTGCGCCACACGCCTCCCATAATTCTCTGAAGGATCCTCAGGGAGGCAATTAATGAAATGATGAACACAAATGAAAATGCCCTGACAAAGACCAAGTGTGTTCGATTTTCGTAAAGGGAGCAAGACTATTTACTTTTCCCTCGTGGTTAGAATCTTACAATTGTATTTTGAGAATAAATAACATACAGATAAGAGACCTTGGAAAATCAACACCTCACTAAAAAGTCAACTAGGCCATTTAGGTATCATTTGTAAAGGGTCATGTGATCACAGGACAGCGTAACCTTGATATGGGGGTTATTGAAACAGCAGCATAAGGATGTTATCTTTAACATTGCACATCCTACACACACAAGGCTACGTACCGAGCGGGGAGCAGCCCTGCGGGGGCAGACTGCGGCGCTGCAGGCTGGGGGCGTTGGGAGGCTGAGGGGCGTGTTGGTGAGGTGTGTCATCGCTGCCACTGCCATGGTCTGAAGAGCAGGAAGGGTGTGAGAGAACAGACAAATTAAGTCATAGAGTCAGGATTTTAAAAAGTTACCAATTACATTACATTTTTCAGTTTGGTGCATGAGAAAATGGGGGTATAAAATGTTCAACATTAGCCGACATCACATTGCGTTACTGAGAATTTAAGTATTTTGAGTATGGCTGCACATACTCAAAAGATGTTCCTTCTAATGGTACGTGACAATACACATCAAATATATGTTTGCAACTTGGCCTGCATTATTCACATCATTATTCACATTCTCATGAACAAAGCTTGGTTTGTTAAAAACCTGTTAAGCCCCAAAGACCCCCTCGGCGGGTATTTTTTTTTTTTTTCACGACACTATGTCTCAGGGCTTCTTAATATTAAAAAAACTATGAATGTGTCATACCCTCCTAACGGGAAGAAACTCAGCTAACTGATGATACGAACCATTTTTCACCGAAACAAAACACAAGTCTCACAAGAAGGGTCTAAATGAGCCCTGAGCGAAAACATGCTAACGCACTTAGCACAAAACTCTAGGTATAGATCGATATACTTATTGGATCTGCACAAACAAGTTTAGCTAACATCCTGAGATTCCACAGATTATAGAAATATAAGTATCACCACTGAGCGATCAGAACTCGCGACAGGGGAAGAAAATACAGACAACACACGACGTAGCTTTAGGTAGCAAAACACGGAGATATGCTCACCTTTAGCTGTTATTCTGATCAAAAGTCGTGTTCAATGGCATTAAAACGAGAAAAACGCGGCTGAAGGTTAATCCATAGGTTAATCCAATGTGTCTGTCACTTTGAAAAAATTATTGATAATCCATAATTCCATTTTTATGCAAAAATCGGAGAATAAATATTAGCTGCTAATGGTAGCCACCAGACTGTAGTGCAGCTTCCGGTTTTTGCTACGCGTCACTCTCACTCCTTATTTGGTAACGTGTGTGTGTATGTGGAACTTTCCCTCGATTCCATTGACTCTAGCGGTTAAAAAAAGAAGTCAATCATCAAAATCGACCAAAGGGGGCCAGAGATAGGTCAAATCCACCCAAATGACCCCAGAAGTGTTTTTTTGTTGCTAAATCTCTCTAAAAAGGTCAAATGTAACTTGTTTTGCATCAATCTTGATACAGGGTACTTATTATATGTTATAGTTTGGATTCCTAAAGCTTTTAGTCTACCATCCCATCATTCAAGGGTGGTTTTCACTATAAGTAATGTGTTTTTTTTTGGACGGACACAATCATTTACATTTTTTTATTATGTTCAATCTGAATTTACTTTAAAATAAAAAAGATCTATATTGATTCTGACTCTTCTACATCCAACTTACAGGTTTATCATTGCTTTGAGAAAAACGATTATTAATTTCCCCCTTTTAGAAGTGTAGTTATGGTCATTTGTTCTGGGAATGTCATTTTCGAGCCTGAGACCTGGAAAACAGGCTCGGGGCTTAACAGGTGAAAACTGCAAGAAAAAATGAAAACCCCATGGGATGGAAGCATTGTAGCATTAATTAGTCATGTTTTTTGTACATGTGTTGTTCAATTAATTTATATAGTAAATGACCTAAAGTAAATCCCTTTTGGAAATGTAAAATATATACTGTATATTTTGTCACTGCTATTGACACCCCTGTACAGTATGTCACCTCTCACTGACCTATTGAGGATCATCGGACCTTTACTCCTTGCATTTACATTTTCAGGATCAAGGATGGGCACGTTATCGACTTTCCTTAGAGAGTTTTTATTTCCTTAACTGCAGAAATTAATTAAGACTAGCAAAGCAGCAGCATGTTGCAAACATCTCAATTATTCATAACAGCTGTTATCACGCCCCAAGCTTACTGAAAAAATGAAAGGCTTTGATTCGTAGAAAAACTGAGGCTGTACAAGGGAGAAGTCCAACAGAAACACATCACCAAGATGAAAGCTTTCCACCACGCGTACAGGGAGATCCTTGTTGTCATACATTGGTGTTATATTTTATAACATTCCGGATAAACTCTGGATTCAAGTACTATTTAAAAAAAATCTGCATTTAGCTTTCCTTTGTCAGTAAGGGAAAGTGGATCGCTTACTTTTCATGAAATATTCAGCTCCTCAATCGATAACACTGCTGCTGACACATGCTGCACCTATAGGTGCCTCAGCACTCTCAACGAGGAAGGAAGGACAGGTTTGTGCCCTTGAAATAAAATATATATTGTCAAAGGATGAATAAGTCATAGGATTGTTTAATGATGCTGAAATCACAGATGAAACAATACACTGTTGTAGCAATACATGTATATAATTAGACTTCAAATAAATGAAGTCATTTTTGATGACAACATGCCCAGGACCTGTGTGAAACCTCATGTGGGATCACTGTAGCTCTCCTCTCTGCAGCATATTCACCTGGGAGATTCAGATGATGCTTTTTTCCAAAGGCGTCTTACTAAAATGAGGCTGAGCCAAGAAGTGGTTTGTCTGAAGGACACGGCTGGAGGCTGACTCACACTGCTGAATGCTTCTTTTAACCTGCATATACAGTACAAATCCATCCCTGCTGCAAGCCTCCAGAGATCAGTGTTACACCAGCATGAAGCAAGAAGGACTCTGCTCTGCTGGTGACCAACTCAACTGAGAACAGACATTTGAAGTGGATTGAATACAGGCATTTTGCTTTGGATTTGCAATCATGCTTACCTTTATATCTACTGTATGTGCACTTCTCATTTATCATTTCTCAATTATTCCTCTCAATCTAATTTAGAATAAGCTTTTTTTTTATTGAGATGTCTGGCTTGTGTCGTGCAAATACTGAAAATACACAATTTCAGACTGATATTACAGGAATATCAAGTGATTAGTCGTTTTTATCATGTTGTCAGACAACATTATTTTCTTTTTTTATCATGTATTGTATACTTTTAAGGACAATTACCATTAACATAAGCAATTGTTAAAGCTCTTTGTTAAAAATGTGTTTAAAACTGAAATTGGTCTACTACACTGTAACACCTCACTCAGTTTTATCAGATCTCCTCTTGAGAAAAGACTGTCTGGTGGCTTTTTTTTCCTGCAAGTCATCACAGGGCTGAGAGATTGATCCGCAGGAGAAGAGGCTTAGTATTCATAACATGCCACAGAGATTTGTGCTGCTTCAACGGCTGTGAAGGGACTGGTACGCAACGCATGAAGTTGGATTCATAAATATATTTAGTCTCTAAGAGCTATACCATGTCTATGAAATGTCAGGGATCAACGCAGCATTCAGATGGCTTGTTTTGTGTGACCAACAGTCCAAAATGCTAATATATTTACTTTACTATGATTTTTTTTTAGAAAAACTGAATATCTGTAAATGTTTCTGTAAATGTGATACTCTATTATATATATTTTTATACTAATACTAGTAAGTGCAAACAGTGTAAACAGTTATCACTGAGTACCACTGACACACAAACTGTAGCGCAAACACTGACAACATAACTATTGTATCTTGCCTGCAGTGTAACACACACAGTAGAGTGCACTCACTGAGCTAACTGAACATTTCATTTGATACGTCACCAGCGTCCTGGTGCTCATAATGGAGGGATGTACTCACTCTCAGTCCAAATATTTTGTTAAAGTGCATCTCCAGTTAATGTGGCTTCATTCAAGGCATACAGTGGCATTATAATGCATATGTATGCATCTCAGTCTGCAGCTACAGCCTGAAGGGGAACACCGCCGTGCAAGCTGCCAGTCTAATATCAGGTACATCCATCTATTTACTAAAGCAGCTGATAACAACACAGCATATCTGTACCCAAGATAAAACAGACAACAATGGCAATAAAAACTGAGTAGGCCACATTTACATGACTACAGGTTATCATCTTACGCTGTGCTTGTTTTCTGATGAATCAGTGTACGAAAAGTACGAAAATAACCCAGTAAAGTGTACATTGGAGACTTTTACGGAGGGGAATCTAAAGCAGAAAGACCATTATCTCACTTGACTTCGATGAACGTTTGCGGGGGATATCCATCAGTAAGAGAGAGGTTGGTTGGAAGTGTTGGAGTAAAAACAGCTTTAACAGATTATCCTGTCATACCACACCCTGCCTCTCTCTTTTTGACACATACTGCAGCCGCCGCTGCTGCCGAAACATTTTCATTTCAGAGATTATACATAAGGAAATCTGCTACTGGCTAAGGGTCTGCATCGTGCATGAGACAGCATCTTTTATCTTTCTTTCCCAGTGTAAGGACCCTACCTGAACAAGAAGCTGAAGGAGTGTCTGAATCCAGAAGTTCAGAATTATACAGTAAAAGTGAAGGGCAGGAAATGGTAGCAGTCAGCGGTTTAAGGCTGAAACAAATGTGGTGACACTCAAGCGATGACTGCAATAACTCATCATCATATCAGCACAGTCAGTACAAATGCCACCGGGACACTTAAGCTTAAACAATTGCAAGCTTATCTAGACAATTCATCGGGGTGTTTTGAATAAACTTTTTCTTGTTCTTGTTTCTTTGTACATTTGATATTCATAGTAAAACCAAGGTAGCAGACAGTCATTAAGCAAAGATTGAATCAGTACAGCTGTTAGAAGTGTCACTTTGTGTGGGATCATGGGATGAATGTAAAAATGAAGGAGGGAAAAACGTTTTAGTATGTCAGCATTTTTTCAGATATTGCATGGTACAGTATGAGTCAGCAATATGAACAAATTATTCTGCAGTAGCTCTATGTTGTAACATAACACATTTGGACTCCTATGCATATAATCATTAAAATCTGTAAGTAGCTGGAAACGCTTCAGCTTGTTTTGACACATTTCTTACATCTCTGTCAAACTCAGAGATAGGCCTATAAGCTTATCCAGTGCATTTCCCTAAATCAAGAATAAAGTATCATGAAGGATAAATGCTGCAGTGTGCAGCAGGGGGAGGAGAGCAACTTAAATATTTCTTCATCGCAGCCTCGGTGGTGCAGCAGCTTTCAGTGCCTACTTGTGATAAAATGCATGAAAAATGAAAGGAAGTGAGCGGTGGTTACTATAGTAACAGAGGATAGCAGAAGCAGCCATGACTTCTGGTAAACTAACGAGGAGATGTAGACGTGATAAAACCTAAACCTGGAAAACCCGTCGGAGCACTGTCTGACGTCCGAAATATCTTTAAAATAAAGTAGTGAAAACGGTTTAGCCCTAATTCATATTCAAAATATGTTGAGTGTGACTCACGCTCAGAGGGTCGGCAGGGATCGCTTTGATTGCTGTCGTTTGATTGGTTGCTGGACACAGATGAGGCACTGGAGCTACGGACAAAGCCGAGGGTAGCCAGACGGGAATTTGGCAGGGCGGAGAAGCCTGGAGGACGGAGACCAGACCTCTTCTGATCTCCTGGAGGTTCATGAGGAAATATGCAATATTAGTGGGGGAGCCTTATAAGATATGGGACACACATTCTGTGTCTATTACAAACGTACACATAGGGAATGTAGAAGTAAAATTAGAAATATGATTTCGTCAAATTCAATATTGAAACTGATATTCCATGAATGACATTACACTTGGCAATTGTAGGTTAAATAATTGTGCCATCCCTGATTTGTTAGTGTTACTAAAGTTCTTGACAGACCTGAATTAAAATAACTTTAGGATCAGGATTATTTTTCACAGATGCAGATGGTGTAAGAAGACCTTTCTCATTGTTGTGAGTGAAGAACATATGATTTACTTACATAAAACAGCACAACATTCAACACACATGTAGCCAAAAAAACATATGACAACTATCATTCTGATTAAATTGGACATAATAAGAGACACCATATGTGGAAGCTGACTAGATTATTTATGTGAGAAGGTAGAAATATGCAGTGCAAGTGGGTAGGATGTGTGTGTTACATTGCTTTCAAATGGTTTGCACTTCAAAGAGTTTAGGTGCAAAAAGCCAAGCCTCATCTAACGCATCCAGGGGGAAAAAGAAATTAGGTGAATCACTCAGCGTGCCGACATTTTTCTCTGCAGCTCGACTAGAGGAGGATGGGACGGCACAGAATAGCAATGTTTGCAGATGAAAAAGCTCTAATGATATATATTCCCACAATGGTCTTTATGGTTTAGAACCATTCATTTTGCAACATAAACACATAACGTAATGTCCACCAAATTGGCCAGCAGACCACCATCTCACCTGCAGGGTCCTGGTTGCCTTGGTTGGACGCTCCGGCTGGCTGAGCAGACTGGCCTGGGACTGGGGCTGACCTCTGACCCATCTGAACTCTTGTCTTGGCTGCAGGCTGCCTGGTGACCGCTCCTAACCCCAGCTGAGGCCTCAGAGCTCTGGGTGAGCGATAGACACTGCATCCATCCTGGGAAACATTCTGAGGAGGAACATTATAAATACAGTCACTGTCATCACATCACATATTTAATCAGACAGGAAATATTATGGTTATGATGCAATTATAAAGTAGATTATTTCACTCATTACTACATGAAAACATTGCAAATGTGTGAACAATTTTGGCATCCTTGATCAAAAGATGAGGCTGCATAGACTGTATAGAAGTGCTGCATACCATAACATGTGACCGCATGAATGTTAGCCACATCAAAAAAGATACAAGCAACCTTAAGTGACTTTTTCAGCATTTAGCAACTGTGACATTTATCGTTAGCATTACTGTTTGGTAAGATAGTAACAGACTGTACATAACTTGTTTATTTACTTTCAGAGGGTTAAGGAGAGTTCCAAATAAGTTTAAGTTTACTTTTTCAAGCTTTTGTATTACTTAGATATTTTGTAATTTGCATGTTATTTTAATGTATTGGTTTCAACAACTAATAGCACCCGTTCTTCTTATCAATGACTCACCTCTTGGAGTGTTTTTTCTGGAATATCCTCATGAAAACTGCCCGACTTCCCACTCAACCTTTGAGGAGCGGTGTTGCCTGGAGGTTTTACCCCAGCAGAAGCCATGCCTGGAGGATGGTAACCTGACTTCGGCATCTCCTGTCGATATTTGTCAAACAGCAGGTTGGAGGAGCATAGCACCGGCGAGGATTTAGGTTGAGTACCAACCTTTGCATCTTTCTGAGCTGGTGGGCTGGAGTAAGAGGATATTCTTTGTGGGAGTGGAGAGCCTTCAATTGGGACTTCTGTCCCTTGCGGTTTAGCTTGAGGATTCTTTCGAACATAGGTGATTATTTTGGGTCGGACATTTTTAGGCTTCTGGGGAGGAGAAGACCTCCTGGGTTCAGGCTCTTTCTGCTGAGAAGAGACAGGTTTGGGGATGCAGCTGCTCAGACCTGTCTTACCTGGTGGTCTGACAGTTGGACCCAAACCTCTCTGAGGGGAGTCGCTGCGCTCGAAGCTCAGAGACCTGATGCTCTGGACCTTCGCTGGAGACCCAGGCAGTCGTCTCTTGGGGGAACCAGAAGTTATTTTAGGGGAAGTAGGAGTTACTGGTCGACTTGGGCTTCCCCATGGCTTCCTCCTCTCCAGACTTGAATAACTGGAGAGTACTGTGTTCTCAAAAGAGCCCTGCTTGTTGAAGGTGTTTTCAAAGGATGGCTGCTTCTTTAAAGTAGTTTCAAACGATGGCTGTTTTTTGTAACTCCATTCAGGAGGGTATTGTTTTTTCAACGAGTTATCAAATGATCCTTGTTTCTTCATGGCTTTGGATTCAAAGGATGACTGATTCCCCTTTGTACCTGTTTTTGACGGGCTGAAGTTCACATCTGGGGCCTCGTCAGCTTGTGTGCTTTTATCCATTTTAATGTTGCTTTGTTCGTGTGCTGTTTTTGTTGTGGGTAAACCCTTGTGCTCAGTACTTCTCCTTTTATCAAATTCTCCCTCTACAATAGCATTGCCTGCTTTATTTATCTGGTTATTGTTCTTCCTGTGTTCATCAAAGGCATCCTTACACATAAAAACTCCATTGCTGACTTGTGCCTCTGATACCAAATCCTCAGATTGAACTGTTGAATTCAAATTCATGTCCACATCTATCCCGTGTATTGTGTTTTCTCCTGAGGGGAGGGGATGATGATCAGCTCTCTGAGAGACCTTGCCTCTCTCAGGGACATTGTCAGTTGTCAGAGTCAAGTCTTCTGAGATGGTTGAGTAAGGCCCAGAGGCAATGTGCCAGGAGTCTGTTGTCTGGGATCTGACAGTAGTGTCCATAGCAGTGTCCATGCTTGAAATGGTGGACAGACAGGACACAAAGACATCCGTTTCTGAACTTAACTCAGCCTTGGACAACTCTCTGCTCTCAGATTTCTGAGAGGCATTGGTGTCCTGCTCACTGGCTCCATGCAGAATAGTCTGTCTCTCTCCCCTGCTCTTATTATCCGTCACATGGTCAGCTGAACCTTTGCTGCGGGATGTATTCGGGTCTTGACGCTTTTTTCGCCCAGCAACCCCGACAAAGTCCTTGCCATCCTCCACCACGTAGGCCTCCAGCTCCTGACACTCCAGCATCTCGAACTCGGCCAGGTCGGGGTCGTCACACTGCGAGTCTGTACCCCAGATGATGACTTTGTCCTGCTGTACTGTTTCAGTCATAGTGCCAGATTCAGCCATCATCCGGCCATCTTCTGTCCGGATCTCATTGGCGTTGGCATCACCGTCAGTCTGCTGGTTGTTATTTCTCAACTCCCCCTCACGGAAGGGCTCTCCTCGACCGCTCATTTTGGAAACAACTCTGAGTTTAGAGCGCCACAAGAGCACTTTAAAAATCAATCATCCATGGCATCAGCAACAAAAACTCTGTCTAGCCATCAAAGAGTCTCAGTGGGAAAGCAGGGACCTCTTTCCAGTACACCAATAACCAGAATGTTGAATATCATGTCTAATTCGGAAGATGGATCTTCATGACATCTGTGGTCCTTATCCTGTATAAAGACAAAAAATTACATATTTAAATATCAACAAATGAAAGATGACTTGAAAATGTTCAGGGTACAATACATGGGATTTCAGTTGTCTGCTCTCCTGCCATACATGTTGATAGACAAGCTTCAGAAGTTGATTTACAAAAGGAAGCTCAACCCCAAAAAAGCTTTTCTTTTCTGAATTCAAGCTTGCCGAACATACCAGGAAAATACAATAAATGTAGGTTTTTAAGAACAACAAAAATATATTCAAGAGACAAGAGAGGAGAAAACGCTGCAAGACGGATAGTGTGTCCTACTGTATATTCTGACATTCCAATTATACCTAATGTTTGCATTCTAACTGAGTTCCTCTGTTTAAATAATCATCTTTGAATAATCATCTTGCAGCAGCACTGGACTGCCTTCGAATGAGCAAGAAGTATCTGCCTTAGGAAAGGATTTGTTCCATAGCCGAAACAATGAATTTCCCTCGCAAAACTGTGAATAGTCTCAGGGCACAAGCTAGTTTTTTATAGCACCACATTTACATTCTGCAGCAACTGTGATTTGGCCTGCTAGATTTCCCCTCTGCATCAGTCACTGCTTACAGTTGCCTTTGCTGCTTTAAAAAGCCTGTAAACACATAAATGTTACCAATCCCAGATCATGTTCTCAACAGGCGACAATGATACAACAACATGTCACTATTTGACATGAAAATAAGCATATTTTTGTAATTCTTGCAGAGGAGCTGTGTTTGGGGGGGGGGGCATTATGACAGCATGCTGTGCTGTGGGGCATTTACGTCTGTTTTTCAACATTAGCTATGAATGGGTACACAAGTGTTGAAATGATATATCTGTAATACAATGTGGGATTGACTTTCACTATTGAGTTTAAGACTGTCAAATAAATGTAAGGTTTCGGTGCAGATGGCACCACAGTATAACTGATTATTATAGCTGTATTTACTGTTTAACAACCCGACGATTGTGAGCTGTCAGCAGATGTCTTCACTCTTCTCTATTTATATCAGATTAGGACTTAACTATTAATCAGAATAATCAATTTGTGGTACAATGCTTCATCTAAGCTGTTTACCTTCATGTCTTTTGCAAAAGCACATTATAAAGGATGTCTGCAATTTACCTATTTTACCTATAGTGGCTTTGCACTTGTAGAGTTCAGAGAGCTTCAACAGACCCTCACAGGAACACGTTCAACTACAGTAGGTACCATGACAACTCTTTTTTTCCCACTTAAGTAGTCTTTTGTCCAACCCGGTATCACAGCAAGACGTGAAAATATCACATTGGTCCACACTGGGAGACGTCAGGATTCGCGATTAGTATATTGCAGTGATACCGGGTTGCTTTTGTCATATATTGTAAGCAGTAGCTTAACAAAAACCTGCCTAAAACCAGCTCAAGGAGAAAACAAAGCATAACTTTGTTATCAGTTTGTTATTGTTCAACTCATCATCCAATAGGCATTTAACCTTGATTACTGCTCCACCTCATCTCTTCGATCACCATGTATGTCCTTTTACTGTTAATGCACCTACAGAGCAGGAAATGTCCAATAGTTTCCAATTCTTTTTTTGAAATAAAGAAATTGTGTGATAATAAAGTTCGCTGCATGTTTAGAGTAAGGAGGGGAAACTCCTTTGGTGACATAAATAATGATACTATGTTTTGTACTAGTGATGTAAAGAGGGCCCAAAGACATACGTGTATTGTTTGCAGTACAGGCAAACACACTGCACTAAATGCTGTGTCAGCACCTGCACTGCAGACACCAATAAATCAGATTCCCTTACACCTACAGTAACTCTCCCCCGCCTCCCTATCAGGTCTCTAACAATACTGTACAGTTACTGTGACTCTATTAAACCGATCCGGCTCGGGTTAAAATCCCTACATGTAGCAACAAGAGATGTCAAATTGGACAAATGAAGTCCCGTTTCAAGAGAAAAACTGCAGTCTGTTTGCTAACAGGATTTTTTCGGCTGCAGCAGAGATTGCTTCTCCATCTCTTAAATTGATTTCCATGTCCAATTCAGTGCATTGCAGACAAGTGTACAGACAAAGTATACTGTACATATGACACTCATTAGAACAGGGAGTGACATGTTGAATATGGCTAGGAAATAACATCAATGCCAACATTAACATCTAGATCTCATAAAACCTCTCTTGTTCACCTTTTTATTTTAACCTACTTGCCCTTTTTTTGTGAGTTGAATTTGCATTGTATCTGTTAATTTTCTGCTTCACAGTCTCTAATCCTGGATGAATTAAAAGTATCACAGAGATAATTAAACTTTTTAATTCATTTCAACCTCTTTCTCTTCACTAATCTCAGAGGAGCTAGGAGTCTGGAGGAGACTGATGAAGAAACAAAAGGGTGCTGCTGGTTTCACTGGCTGAAAAAGTGCAGTTATAATACTTGGAGTGACTGAAGTGACACTCTTCCCTTCCTTTATGACCCCATTTGCCTTATCCACCCAAACAGCACATACTGTAACACAGTGCACGTAGGCTCTTTCCTTCATTGGCCCTGTCGCTGCCACCCCTTTTTTTTCATACCCCCTTTTAAATTACATTCCCTGATTGCTTTCTTCTCATGGTTGCAACAGCCGATAATGATCCTGCGGTGACACTAAGGAGACTGAGGAAATGTATGCTCATAATGTCAACATGCTTCCCTGAGCATGTTTCCCCATCCCCCCATTGTTCAGCAACTCCCCCCGCCACCACCTGCCTCCTGATATGCAGCATGATGGCGGGACTTTCATTCTGATGAAATCTGTGCATTCTAGAGCGAGTGCTTGTGTGGGAGTGTGTGTGTGCTCAAACCACTTGTTTTTCTCAGGGAGACAGAATCTCTTTCGTTGTTAGCAGTCATACATCTGTAGCAGAGCACAGAGATCAAGGCCTTCATTTGTCCATCAAGCTTCACTAAATGCTTAATCTGGAATCCTCATGAAATATTGAGGATGGATGAAGATGGAGGCACTGGTCTCCCTCCCTTTTTCACGCCTCAGTGGCCTTGACTTCTTTGTGTAACCAACACAAGCTCACAGCTGATCTTCTGTGACTTAAGCACATTGAGAAAGCAAGAGAAAGTGTGTGCCTCTACAATCTACAAGTGAAGACACAGAGGGTGAAGAGGCAACACACATGCCGGAAAAATGTTGATGTGACATGCACATGTAAAATAATTATGTTGTTGATATTTTAAATCAACACCTTACATTACGTTAAATTTGTATAATCACCAGCTATTGCCACAAAAATGGAGGCTCCTGTGCTTCATTGTCACATCTTACATTAAGTAACAACTGTGGTCACTACACACCAGCAGAAATATGTAATTTCACTGTTCCTCATTTTACAGCTTCTAAAAATAAAGTGCATCAACAACACATGATCCCTAAACAGGAAGGAAAAACCTAAGGCGTTGTTGCATTTATGACAGACACGGGAGAAAAAAAAACAGAGGTGAAAGAACATCAGAGGGGCTGACCCCACTAAACACACACACCCACATACCGAGGTGAGCCCACTCACAACGAGTCCCCCTTTCCAGCTCGAGTGCATGCAACAGCAAAGATCATTTATCATGGCAACAAGAATTTTAAATTAAATCGGTAATAAAAACACCTCCAACAGCAGGACCATCCGCAGTCTCCCTCCAGCAGATGCAGCAGTGTCAATAAATCTACTTCTCAGTGGTGCGGATCTGAGGATGACAGGGAGGGAAAGCAGAACACACCCGGTGTGAAATGTAGATCTTACCGTTCAGTTTCAGGTAATCCTCTGGAGAACAGCTCGGCAGTGAGGACGAGGAGACGCGAGAGGGACGCATCCAGCTCTCGCTGTGATGAAGAGGAGACAGACTGCACCGTCGCTGAAAACAGGGAGAGGAGGAGGCTCGACTATGGAGGGCTCGACGCCCATAGCAACACGGGCTCAGGTCGCTCCCTGCTGGTCAATTAGTGAATTACTCTCCATCAAATATTTAGAGCTACTTACAGTACACTGGCAGCAGTCGCAATGTTAGGGACGAGGATAAGGGCCACGAGACAAAAATGTTGGATGTGACCAAAAGTAAAATAAATGTAACCTTAATTTCTTTTCCCCTAAAATGTTTGAAATCAGAACATAATTGTTTTCTTTACTCATGGTCAAATTCCAAAAATGTTTTCGCCCTAATCCGCTTCTGTACAATATTGACGAAAGTAGATTCACTTCCAGGTTTTTATGTCTAGATGGATAATAGCTTCATTTGTTTTTCTAATTCGAGGTGGGTTAATTATCCACAAAATATAGAGCACTTTATATTCTTAAATGTTGTAGTCAATCAAAAACAAAACAATTAAAGTCATTATTCATAAATAAAAAAAAACAATCTGAACAGAACTGAAAGAGTGTGGAAAAAACATAGTACAATTTTCTATGTGAGGCAAACTATTATGTAACATGCTGTTGTAATGGGTGTGCACATCATTTTCACAAAAATCAAAGATACCGAGTCTGTGGTTCTAACCTCGAGCAGTATTTATTTACAGCAGCAACTATACAAACCGCAACCAATTAAAGACAACACATGCTGAACAGCTGACTTCACCACTCCAATACACTTGTAAACACATTTATACCTTTTGATTTTCAAGCTTCACAACAGTTTTGAAACAGTGCAGCATGCAAAAGTTCACATGAAACAGAGATTCATTCTCACAAGTTTTAATGCAACTACAGCATACATTACAAACTAAGGCTGATGGTATAACCCATTGACTCAATTTGTGCTTTCAATCTAATATATTCAATCTATTTATAGTCAACAGCTTTTGGCACAGTTTGTCACCATTTTACTTTACAAAATGCTTTCAACGAGATTGTAGAGATTCAAGGAAAAACATGTAACATTGGCAGTAACTTTAAGCAAAATCAAAACAGTATTTACAAAAACAGACATTAACTGTTAGAAAGAGGTAATGATGAATGTAATAAAAAACTGTATACTTGATAATATCCCACTAATTCAAACATCTCCCAGTTTCAAAAAAGGCTAGTTGTGGATGGAAAACAGTAACTTTCTGCATCATAATCGTATCAGTCAATGCTGCTTCAATATCTTAAAATCAACGTGAGACATAATAGTAATTATTTACAAAGCTATTTAGTACTTAAACCTGTAGACTATTTCAATGTCATTGATGAAAAATTGCAACATAGATGAATTGCAATATTGTTTTAACTCGTAATCCAAATGAATGTAACCTTGTTGCATTTTTAGTCCTTAGTAAACATACTTTAATGCTTTGTTTTCTGGTTTTAGCTGCCGTGGGAATCTGCACACACTTACAATCAGCTCTCCATAATCAATAAATAATGTCCGACTGTCAGAGACACTGTAGGTTAACAACTGATGGAGGAGCACTGTAACGTATGGTCTGGTGTTTCTGATCATTATGGGAAACTCCATCCCATTCTGATGTATGTTAACTAAAAATAGAAAACTAAGGTGAAATTTCTCTTATATATTATAAATATACGCTTTTAAAAAGAGTACATTATATACAAACATTATGCAATTCACACTAACTGGTAAAAGAGCAATATCATACCTCCTTAATAGTTTAAAATTCATTTGGGAAATAGGCACTTAAAATACATCGTCTGAAGTATCTGACAGATCACTTCACGTTAGCAGCTTTTCTTTCTTTGGCTGATTAAAAAAGTTCCCTGATGGAGCACACACACACCGGTGTATTTGTTTTCTGGTAAAAGTCTGCCATGACGAAACCATCTATCTGACATGGAGGTATATTGATCACAAAGTATTATACCAGGATATTCACAGCCCCATTACGCATTATTTCTCACATTTGTCTGTACGATTCATCCCAGTAACAGAGTTACTTGTTATACTCAAGAACAACACATACAAATGTGTACCTTTGAGGGAAACTAACAACACAAAAAGGCACTGAAGATACAGTAACATTCTGAGCTGAGTTTGAAAAAGTTTTATCTAAATAAATGCAATTCATTTAAAAAAAGGTGCGGAATAAGGGATTGTGGATATAATTGTCTCTGGTACAGAGGCACTGTGTATTTTAATGCAGCATGACAAGGGCCAAACATTTGCAAAGATATCCGTCAAATAAATGAAAAAAAAAAGTCAAGTTCAAGTATGCTTTTACAGATGTAAAATATAATAAGGGGCTTTTTTTCTGATTGACTGTGGATTAAGGAACCACAATTAGGGTTACAAATAGATATATGTACAAGAGGTGCATTACAAATCTACTTGTTCTCTGCTTAACACATTTAATTGTGCAAAATATATAAAAATATAATTTTCTCTAAACTTAAATATTGTTCTTTTAGATGAATGGAGTTATATTTAATCTTTATTTCCAACTAGCCCTTTTACTTTTACTTTACTCAAATTTTTTGGCAGAAACAAGGAAACAACTCAACCCTCTGACTGGAGGGAGGCATACAAGTCTCCATGCATTTCCAAGTTAGGCAGCTATTTTAGAGAGTTCAACAGAACAGAAATATGGTGGCTTAGTGAACCTCCTGTCTCCTCATGAATCTTCATCGTCGTCTTCCATGTTGTTTGGTATTTCGTGTAGGAAGGCTTCCTTCTCCGGGGCCATGGGGGCTCCCTTTATTGAGCACGCTGGAGCGTAGGCGCCAGACCTGGCCATTGATGCCTCAACACTGTTGCGAATACCATAGCCGAAGTAGATAAAGAAACCTAAAAATGTTGCAGAAACATTGTGGCAGGGACATTAATTAATTGTCAAAGCAAAAACAGCAGAGATAATATTTCAGATTGTTAGCAAAATATCCAAATTACCTAAGACCATCCAGATGGCAAAGCGCATCCAGGTTCCTCTGCCGAGCTGCATCATCAGATAGACGTTGATGAACATACTCATGACTGGGAGAACGGGCAGCAGGGGAACCTGTGAAGAGAGAGTGTGTTTATTTAATGCAAATATTAAGAAAAAGATGGACTCAACGCATACAGTAATGGGTGACATGGACCTTAAGACTATTGTTTGGATGTGATGGTGCGGGGAAATCCCTGACAATCGGTTCTTAACAACACTGAAAACTAAGCAAACTAAAAGCAATTAGCTAAGACTTCAATAAAATAGTGCTTATGATACACATTTCCTAAAGAAACTAAAATAACAAACAACCCGATACCAAATATATTCTCTCAATGCTTGTTAAAACTTAGAACAAGAAGCTACAGCAACATGTGTTAGCATTGTTTTATACACATGTAGAAGACTCTTCCAACATCAGCATGGTTTATTTCTGTAAGCTGGATGGGCTCGGACAGTGATATAATAAAATAAAGTTACCTAAACTATTTCAAAAGCCTGCCATAAATCTAAAGTTATTTTATGTTTTCTAGGTAGCCATTGGCTTTAATTCAAATCCTATTTGAGTATTTGCATAAAATGACATATCCAATTTCCCCTCTCAGCAAGTTAATTTGAATCCTGAATCAAAGTAAATAAATCGCAATCAATTCAATAAATAATTATATACTTTGTAAATATCTTGCAAGAATGTTAAGAAGTACACGTAATTCACATTGTTTGCATAAATATAAGAATATAGAAGTCGTTAAGCAGGTTAAGAGCAACAGTAAAATCTAAAGACAAACTCCTCCCCTTCCCACTGTTTGCTTGTTGTGGTTTGCTCTGTCTCTGTATTTCATTCTAAACAACAATAAAGCACATTGCTGTAAATGCTCATTATTGCAAATAGCAGAGTCATTTACATCAAGCTTATCACGTTTTGACAATGTCATCTTGTACGTGTGACTATGAAATAGTGTGAGAAGAACTCTTTGGTGAAAGAACACACTTTACCTTAAAGGCGAGCTTGGTCTTGCTCTGCGGCTGTCTCCACACCACGACGGTGACGATGATACAGACCAACACTATGATGCAGAGCACGGACACTGACCAGGCAGCCAGCCCTCCATGAACAGCAACAATGCTGAAAACAAACACCAGAACACCTACAGGGAAGAATAAAACCATAAGTAGAGGTAATTGGTTTTGCAGTATTAGTATTAGTTTTCTCTGGGCTTTGTATTCATCTCACCTAGTACGCTGGTGCAGATGTTGACGGCGAACCCTGACGTGTTGGACGGCTCTGTGTTCGAAGGGTAGAGCACATTCCTGATGGTGAGGCGATCCTCTGCTTGTGCCAGTACGTCAATGCTCCCCTCGTTATAAGACTCAGACATATCAGGGTCATCCTGAGTGTTGGCCATCTCATAGGCGTTACTGGGCTGTTCAGGCTGGTACCTTCAGATGGAAAACACACGGTCAAAACCTGACTTAAAAACCTAAGGCTGTAAACTAAGGCTGAGAACACACCATAATGTTTTTTAGCAAAAGTAAAGAAAAACTCATACATTATGATGAGGTTAACCAAGGTTTCCTTTCTGGTTAATATGCTATAAATGATTTTGTTGATTCAAAACCGTCATCCAATATGCATTTAATACATGAAGCGAATAAAATACGGTAATCTAAGTAGGTTTTTTATAGTTGAATGACTTAGTTATGTCTAACTTTGATACATTCTAGGTGACTGTTCTCATCCTCAAAGACTACATGATGCTGTATTTTAAACTACATGTTTTAAATCATGACTTAGTTTTGATCACCTACCAGTATCATGTTCATTAAAACTGTGAGAATTAAAAAAAACGTTCACACATTTGGCCTGACTAGCCTATAACTAAGGATTCTTCATAACCCTCATAATCCTTTAAATACTTGTTAAATACATATTTGTGTGGTAGAGTATGCTTTCACAGGGTTTTTAATTCACTTCTTTCTCTTTCCTTATATTAAAGGTGGGGTAGGTAAGTTTGAGAAACCGGCTCGAGATACACTTTTTGTTATATTCCATGGAATGCTCTTAACATCCCGATAGCAATGAATATCTTAAGTGCTTTGACAAAAAATCCATAAAAAAAATGTCATCTGTGGAAGCCGTAATACTGTAAAAAGCACGACCAATCATTTTAGCCGGCCTGGCTAAAATAACTGGATGGCCTACCTGCCTGTCAGCCTTCCATCGGGGCACAAACTTACCTCGTGCCCTCATTGGTCATGTGCACGTTCGTGTGTGTTGGAGGAGGGGCTCTGTAAGGAAGTGGCAGATTTTTTCCGGTTGTGTATTTTCAAATTCCAGCGCACTCGAGCCGGTTTCTCAAACTTACCTACCACACCTTTAATATATATATACAAAGGAATTATACCCGACTTTATTGATTCTTTTGTTTGTATTGTTACGACACCTATTATTATTATTATAAGCCCAGATGATTACCTGAGGACTAACACACAGGCAGCCACCAGAGTGTAAGCCAGCAAAGTGCCAATGGACATCAGGTCAACCAGGTCCTTCAAGTCGAACAGGAAAGCCATCACAGCTGCAGGAAACACGGAAGGAAAACAACAAGTCAGCAAGAAGACAGATTATCACACTATGACAAACAATGTAAAATGACTTTTTACCACAATATAATGCAGATATTGTATTTCTATATAACATACAAAAGTATTAACTTTTACTCTACAGCTCTATGTATTTATGTGATTTTCCATCATCCTCCTTCCCCTAGAGGGCACTGTTGCCTTTGGCCTCATTTGAACCTACCCGACATAAGCCCTGCCACAAAGGTGGAGACGGTGGGCGTCTTCCTCTCACTGACACGTGCCAGAGACGAGAAGAGCAGACCATCCCGAGCCATAGCAAAGATAATGCGTGGGAGTGGAAACATGGAGCCAAGGAGACTAATCCAAGGATGAAGGAAGAAGGGAAGGAGGAGGCAGATATTTTTTAAATAAAAAAATGGTTTGGGAACTCTGGTTTCACACAAGGCCTCAACTGCAGCCATGCCCAACAGCCTGATAAAGTACACAGGGTGCTGTACTCAAGGTGTTTCTGTGACAGCTTTGTAGACTGCAATAATTGAAGAAGTATAACATTTGCAGGACTACCTTTAGGCAATATTACCATGTTGGATTTGGTCATGTGCTTGTGTTGAGCCCATGTGTACCACAAGTGTCTGGTAGGGTTATGGGGGTATATTGACCCCAACCAGTTAGTAGGTTTAGATCATGACCTCACCTGCCACAACACCTGATGTTACAGTAGCTGTTAGGGGGGTTTTGGTTCGCGGGCTGATTGTGGCCAAACATTTGAAGAGCAGGCCATCTTCTGCCATGGCCCAGATCACTCTGGGCATTGGGAACATGGAGCCTAGTAAACTAGTAGGGGAGAGAGAGAAAAAGCATGCCGTGCAAGTCAATGCACACAGTTACTGTAGAAAGGCTGATGGCTAGCTGCTGGAAGCACACTGCTGTCTCAAATGTTTTTGCTATTGCAGTGAGATGTCCAAAAACTTAGCTCATGGCCAAAGCCAATAAAAAAGTATAGACAAAAAGTAGGAATTGATGACCATTGCACATAAGATTAGGTAAGGTTTTTTCAAGACTGTTGGCCTCCCATCAGAAAAGCTCTTATTTTACTTACTTAGGCACATTTTCTAGATGCCATAAGTAAAAGGTAATTGATGATGTTATTTGATAACAATAGAAAGTCAACATTTAGGCCAAGATAGCCTTGTTAACTATTACTGATTGACATTACTTTTGACTACACCAAAGAAAATCATCGGCTGTAAGGCAGGAAAAGTGGGTAAAACAGTAAAATTCCTAAAAAAAAGACTGCATCTCTGAACTATCTCTTCAATCACACGCAAATCGATTTTTTTGTGTGTGATTTTCTTGTAATAATTATTGTACCATGAAGCAATTCGGAGTTTGCTGGTAATGCCTGCGTTAGACTTTAAAAACCATTAGATTATTAAGGTAGTATTAGCTGTTCATTAATTTGCTCTTAAACACAATAAACACACACATGCAAAAATGTCCACAATACATTCTCTGTATTCTTAACAGTGGTTTCACACTATTCCATTGATCTACAAGTCAACAAAAGAATGCAAACATTTAAAAATAAATGTCCACAAAAAGCTAACTTAAACAAAAACAATTTAAAAACATATTTTAAATTCTATATGAAGTCTATTGAACTTGAATTATTCATTCCAAAAATAAGCATGCACATATTTACAAGTCCTCTATGACTTGCTGAGAGGAAGTAGGAGAGCTCTTACCTGGTTGACAGGGCACATAAAGAGCCAATGGCCACTGCATAATTGGCTCCCTCCCAGCCCACATACGTAAAGGCCACTGGCAGGGGGCTATTCTTATCCAGCAGGTAGTACGGCATCATCATAGTGAGGGCTCCGGACACACCGAAGTATGCCACAAAACAAATTAGGAGTGATGCCACAATCCCGATAGGAATGGCCCTCTGAGGATTTTTCACTTCCTCTCCTGGGGAGGAAACATAACTGGAGTTTTGAGAGGGTAGGGGCACAAGTGTTGCTTATTCATATATTGTATTTCCTCTCACCTGTCGTGGCGATGCAATCAAACCCTACAAAGGCATAAAAGCAGGTGGCGGCACCAGAGAGGACTCCACTTATACCAAAAGGCATGAAGCCGCCTTTACCAAGATTTTCTTTTGATGGTATGAAATCAGTGGAACTGGATGCAAAAAGGAAAACAATATTTGCTCAATTGATACACAACACATTTGGAACTTAAAACATATTGGGAAAAAGCTCTTTATTTCACCCACTTGGAGCTAGAGTTGCGGGTGGCATTGAGGATTTCGTCAGGGTTCAAGTTCCAGTTCTTTAGGTTTCCTTTGACCAAGCCCGAGATGATGACAAACAGCAGCACCACTACATTGACGCAGGTGAACACCTTATTAACCATGGCTGACTCCTTTACTCCAAATGCAAGCAGTCCTGCAAGCGGTTAAAAAGATAATGTGAAATATGAGAGCTTATAGTCAGAAAGAGAAATGAAAGAAAACAGAATACAGTGGGAGGAGCTCCTTACCTGTCAGAATGATTATGATTAAGACCGCAAATATGTCCGGATACTCTGCCAGGTAGCCTGGAGCTTTCATAGTCATGTAATTGCGGCAAAAGACCTCGATGTGTTTTCCAATCAGCTCATCAAAGGTTGCACTCCACGCTCTGGCCACACTTGAAGTTCCTGTTTAAAGGAAAGTATTTATGTAAACTGAACAATATGAGGCCTAGCAGCCAACTCCTTTTCATCCTCATTTAAAATTGGCTCACCAATGACATAAGAGAGGATGAGGTTCCAGCCTGTGATAAAAGCCCAAAGTTCTCCAACCGTCACATAGCTGTAGAGGTAAGCCGAACCAGTTTTGGGGACACGGGCTCCAAACTCGGCGTAGCACAGACCGGCCAGGACGGAGGCGAGGGCCGCGATGAGGAACGAGAGGACGATGGCAGGTCCAGAGTTTTCCCGGGCCACGGCGCCAGCGAGGACGTAGACTCCAGCGCCGAGCGTACTGCCGACGCCAAGGGCAACCAGATCAAATGTGTTGAGGCATCGAGACAGGCGGGAGTCCTCTGTGTTACAGTCCACCACCTTCACCCGCAGGAGCTGCTTCCCAACACCCTTTAATGTTGCCAGAATCATCCTGGCTGCCACCAAAAGCTCTACAGAAGATTATTTACCTGTTGACATAACAAGACAGAAGGGACAAAGCACTGAAATTAGTATGTGATGAAACAGACAAAGAAGGATAATATTCCTGCTCCACTCCCAGATCAAGTTTGTCTTTGTTCCTGGTTAGCATTATGAGCTTAGTTGATAGTGATACATATACACTGTAACCAAAGCTTGTAACCCATTGGAATTAAAGGTTGAGACGCAGCCAAATTCCTCCAGTCATCCACTTACGTTTTCTGATCTGTTGATGATTTTATAGGCATCACAACAGTTTTTAAGAGTAAGTGCAGTACATACTAATGGATAGTCCTGAAGACTGCTTACTATTTGTATTGATAGAATAGAATAGTATACATAAAACAAAATGTTATGCATGCTTCTTAGTTAACATTAAGCTCTTTTCTGCTGTAACAAAAGTACATTTCTCCTCTGTGGGACGAATAAAGGTATTCTGATTCTGATGCAATATGAGAATATTTGCACAAGGTTTAAGTTTTTTTAAATCAAACAACCTAAATCATATTCTTACAATTTACATTTGAAAATCCAATAGTCCCAACACAGTTTAATTTTTAATGGCACTGACATACCCTAGCATGCAATGTGTGTCATTAATACATAAATCAAACTTTTAGTATGCACTGCAAAACCAGTTACAGCCTATTCTAAAATATATTCTGTCCGTATTTTGATGTTTGTCTTCTTTTTTTTGTTTTGATTCCTGTTATCCGTTTTAAACCCATGTTCCAAGTTAGAGTATAGGCAGCAGTAACACTCCATTTCAGCTGAAGAACCTACTTGAGATTTGAAATAGTTACCGACTTTTTTTCTACTCAAATAACAATATGCCAAATTAAGAAACATGAGCAATAACTTCTTTGGATATAGAATTATAAAGTTACATTTGAAATCAACGTTATTTAATAATAAGAAAGAAAATGTTAAATTAAACATGATTTAGCAAGACATTTCATAACAGCATTATCTAGCAAAAAATACATTGTATTTTGTAATCCTTGTGCAGGGCATAATCCTAATAATCTACGTGACAAATGCAGAGCCTCTTCTCAAACAGCACAGCAGATATGGATCTGACAGACAATCCAGACAGGTACTCACTTGCACAACGCAATAGAAAAACAGGATCTGTTGTCTGTACTGATATACGCAGACAGTTACTTATATTTCAGTTTATAAATCCACACAACCACTCCAGAGGGTAGCAGTAGACTCAGTTCCAGTCAGCTAAGGATGACTCGAGCTGAGAGAGACATTTACAAGTGCTGGTATGACACGTGACACAGACGCCTCTTTCCTGTACAAACCATTCAGGTGTCCAGCTCACAAATAGAAACACACATGGCAGCTGTGACGATTCCCCCCCCCCCAGAGTTTAGACTGACTCACTCTCACACTCTAGTCATTATAGTAAAACAAGGAAAACGTGACTTGTTGGACTCTTTTATCTCCTTTTAGCAGATAAACAGCAATTTTACATAAATAACCGCTCAACAAGTAAGGTTGTTGTATTTGAAGTTAGATTTACATTTTTTTTCTTTTCTACAGCATATCAGGGAGATAGGATACATCTAGATTTTTCTACAGTTAGATGACAAGATTCAAGGACGGTTGCTGAACAGCTATGCATTATCTGTCTAAGTTATGGTGACCTGAACACTTAAAACCAGACATTTCAATTGGCTTAGACCAACATACAGAGGCCAAAACAATTTACTACCGTAGAGGAACACTGTAGCATGCACAAGATGTGACATGTCGTGGCTGAGCTAAAAAAGGAGATGAGCAGAAAGAGCCCTGCCCTCCTCTCAGCCAATCATGGAAGATAACACCTGCTGGTGACGTACAAGGGGCTTGTGGGTGTATTTCACACAACACTCAATCACATGCTCTCTGCTATTTGGCCTCAAGCAAAATACTTTTGCTACTTCAAACATCTTTCATGTGACATTGTATTGTTTATGCATGGAGAGTCAGCCGAGTCCAAATAAAAAAATCGGACTAATCTTTGATGAAATACAAAGTCAAATCAAATCTTACATTAGTTTAACCTCAAATGACAAGCAACCTCAGCACAGTATTTGTATAGATCTGGTATTTTGTATATATAAAGAATTATAAGACTTTACATGGAGATACAAAAACATACATATACATAAAGGTTCTCTATGTAGATACATTTTAGAGCTAAAACTACATCATTAAAATATGGTATGTTCTAACTGATGCAACAATATTGGACCTTTTAATCTCACATGGAGAACCAGCTATATCTTGGAAAACACATTCTCTTAAGACTGTCTTTAATTACAATTTTCCCTGCATGAATTTGAAGGTTGACAAAAGCAAAGAGCTAATTTAAGGACCACTGAAGTCCTACTTGGCATGTGAAGGGTATTTAGCAGCACTACAGAACAAACAGCACACCTGCTCTTCTGGTCTAACTGGGGATGGAGAAAACAAAGTGCAATGTGAGGACGATCATAAAACAAACGTTGCTTTCCAGGAATTTAGGCCACATATCTATGGTCACATTGCCCTTGTAACAGTGAAGCTACAAAGAACAACAATGTAACAACAGCCATTAGAACACAGAACTACAGGTTCGACTTTTAGTTTTGCTGGTCATACAAAAGGAAGACCCAGAGCGGGTGGTGAGGTACTGTTTCTTCACCTTTTAAAAAAATAAAATAAGAAAAACTAAGTGAATGTCGTAAAAAAAACTTAAAAAAATAACCCAAACTAAAATGACCCCTTTCATGACACAGGCAGATTAATCACAGCGGTCTAAAATTCACAATTATGTATCAGTTTTATGCCTGAATGTAACACATACTCACACACACACACTACAGCCAATAATAGGATTATCCATGATGTAAATGAGAAATGTTAACACCTCGTTTAAAGCCAGGTGCAGAGTCAAGAGCAGTCCTCCTGTTGGAGATCAGCTGACATGACCTTGAAGGCTTCCCACGGATTCAATGTTTACATCATGTGGCTTCCTCATGGTTTGTATTCTGTGGTTGTTGAGACCCAGGGACACCAAATACACTCTCGTCTTTACACAACAACTTTCCACAACTAAGCATGCACGACTGCCGTTTTACCAAATATATCTTTAGGCATGTGAGAATTCACAGAATCAGTCCTCAGTGTAATGTGCTTTAATATGCTGCTCTAACTCCGCTTCAAACCACATGTTTTTTTATAAGGGGGAAACAAATCAAGAAGTTGTTGCAGCAGAGATAAAGCACATTATGACTTATGGACAGGTTGACTGGACTTTGTGATTTAAACTTGTGGGGAGAAGTTGTATAAATATAAATCAAAAACCAGCCGCCAGGATAATACAGGATTTGAATAAAATAGTTTTTGAATTTTCTGTCATTCAATATATGGCACTATTTTCTTGAATTCAACTTATTGCTTGGTCTGTTTCAGTAAATTCTGGAATTTAATTTTATACGTAATATATAAATTACTGGAGGCCAGATCAAAGAAATACAGAATTGTGTTTGGCTTCATGTCTTCTAATTAAAAAGAATTGTGCTAGAGTAACGCAAAGAAATAAGTGCTTTCAAGCAACTCTCAAATACATTAATTTGGCTAGACCAACTGAGACTTCTGAAGCCTCAAATCAACTTTGGATTTATATAGATGCATTTTACTGACAAAATCATGAAAATTAGACAAGCAGTCAGTTCCTCGGTATCAGGTACAGCAAATGTGTTGTCCCTGTGTTCACCTAAAGTCAATTCAGACATCATGACACAATTCCGTCTGATAAATGCTAAAGACCTGGAAGACATTATTCAACATCTGAAATCCACCTCCTGTAGCCTCGATATTAGCCTGACAGGATTTTTCAAAACTGTTTTTCATTGCTTGGCCTCAGATATACTACACATAGTAAACAAGTCTCTCCACTCAGGTGTATTTCCACAGGCCCTGAAAACTGCAGTAATTAAACCGCTCCTAAAAAAGCATAACCTAGACGCAACCGTAATGAATAATTACAGGCCAATATCAAACCTTCCCTTTTTAAGCAAATGGATTGAAAAAGTTGTTTTTCAACAGTTGAGTAATTTCATGTTTTTAACTGACGGTTTTGATGTGTTTCAGTCGGCACAGCACTGAGACTTCTCTTGTTAAGGTCTTAAATGACATCCATTTAAACACAGACAGTGGCAGAATATCAGTGTTAGTATTATTAGATCTCAGCGCTGCCTTTGATACTGTTGACCACAACATATTGCTAGACCATCTAGAAAACTGGGTGGGAGTTTCAGCAACAGCTCTAAATTGGTTTAGTTCCTACTTAAAGGACAGAACAAACTTTGTCTCAATAGGCAATTACAAATCAACCATGACAAATATGTCATGCGGGGTTCCTCAAGGCTCCATCTTAGGACCTTTGCTTTTTAATATCTATATGCTACCACTGGATCAAATTATTAAAAACAGCGATCTAAGCTATCACATCTATGCAGACAGATTTATTTTGAAATTACACCGGGAGACTACTCTCCGATTAGAACACTGAGCAAGTGCATTGAGCTCATCAATGACTGGATGACTCAGAACTTTCTCCAATTGAACAAACAAAAAACTGAGATCATTGTTCTTGGAGCAAAGAAGGACCGATTAAAGTAATCGCAGAGCTTCAGTCGGCAGACTACAAAGTAACTCATAAAGCTATAAATCTAGGTGTAGTGATGGACTCAGACCTGCATTTTAACAGTCACATTACAACAGTTATTAAATCAGCCTACTATCACCGGAAGAACATAATCTAGGATTAAAAAACTAATGTCGCAACAGGATTTAGAAAAACTTGTCCATGCTTTTATTTTCAGTAGACTCGACTACTGCAATAGTGTATTCACAGGGCTCACAAAAAAATCCATCAGAAAGCTGCAGCTGATTCAGAACGCTGCTGCTCGAGTCCTCACAAACACTAAAAGAGTGGATCACATCAGTCCGGTTCTGAAGTCTTTACACTGGCTTCCAGTCGACCAAAGAATTGATTTTAAAATACTATTGCTAGTTTTTAAATCACTAAATGGCTTAGGACCGAGGTATATAAACAATCTCCTGCATAACTATGAACCATCCAGGAGTCTCAGGTCCTCTGGATCGGGTCTGCTCTCTGTATCAAGAATAAGAACTAAACATGGAAAAGCAGCGTTTAGATATTATGCCCCGACAATCTGGAACAAACTGCCCGAATCGTGCACGTCCGCTGAAACACTTCCTATTTTCAAATCCAGACTAAAAACATATCTATTTGCCGCTGCTTTTAATTGAGCTGTTCATACTCACACTGCAGTATGCCTTTTATTCATGTATTCTGTACCTGCTGTGTTTATTTATTTATTTCATTATCTTGCCTTGCCTTGTCTTGCCTCGCCTTGCCTTGCCTCGCCTCGCCTTGCCTCGCCTTGCCTCGCCTTGCCTCGCCTTGCCTCGCCTCGCCTTGCCTCGCCTCGCCTCGCTTTGTCTTGAGCAACAGCAAGGTATGCAGACTTTAAGTATGGGTCTTACGTTGTAATCGCATTAGAAAAATATCTCTTTTTAGCCAGGATAGACAGGGAAACTATTTACAGCGATCAACATGTCACACTGTTTAAGAGGAAAATGTGAATGCAAACTAATCCCTAACATCAGCTTACATTAATCATAATATTGAATGATGATACTCAGGGTTTTGACTAACTGATTAGAATAATTCATTGGATTTAGTTTCTAAGGTGAGACACTACAGTAAAATATACGTTTTGAATGCACTGCACATCATTTTGAGAGTTTGGGATATTTTGCTTCACAACGTGTTTTCATTAAGTTGAGTTGATTCTTCTACTACACTTTGTCTCAGTAGAATTATCCTAAATCCAGACATTAGAGTTACACAATGTGTGGTTTGCACATTAAAAAAAGAAACTTTTCAGAAAACTTGATAGACGAAAACTAATTGTCTTAATATAGGCATTAAGCTGTGGAAGGAACATGGGGATAGCCTAGGTAATTGTTTTACACTACGTCACCGTTGTATGTATGTAGTTTTCTTAAAATGAGTTTGTGTCTTATTTGCAGAGCCAGATATCTCCACTTCAGTAGCACATATGCACCAAACAATCCAGTTGCATTCCCATCTATAAACACTGAAGGTTCTTTTACATAGGGGGTATTTGTATACATTTTCCATAGCCTGATTTATATAGCATTTTATTCTTAACAAGTATTGATCAAATTGACCTTTTATGGCTGTTGAAAGTAGTTTAAGGAGTGATAGAAAAACATATCCAACATATCCACATTTCTAATAATGTAAAATCAAATAAAAAGGGAAGTTATAGTGATAACCAAGTTCAAATGTTTACCATACTCACCTGTAGTATGTTCCCTTAACTCTGCACAATTAATGCTAAACTTACATAAAGACATACGTTTCAAAACGTACAAATCATAACTATAGGCTTGCATGAAGTTTTACAATTTTGAAAGATATTTGGAGCAATAAAATGCCAACTGCTGTAGGTTGATACACACTCGCAGCTCCTCATAGGCTAGTGACTAAATGCATTTTTTTAAACATAATGTAATAAAAGTCTTTTAACCGACTTTAATTCCGTCTTTCCCTAATTCAACTGTTTATTTAACCATAGGAAACTTGCTAAACAGGATGAACAATCTGCACTACATGTCCTTTATTTACACTGCGGGTTCATGTGAGTTCACGCACAGCAGCAGTGGAAATGGCACTCTCTATAAAAGGCAATGCTCTCCTCAGGCTCACCGCTCAGGCTTTACAAACTGCTAACATCCACACAAAACGACTCCTGATCCACTTCTATATTCTATGTTTCATTAGTGAAGATCTTCGAGCCGCACTGGGCTACTTTAACTTCTGCTCGGAAGTACAGTAGCAGCTCGACCATGCCTTATATTGCATCAGCCAGACGGTTTCTTCCTCCTCTCAGACCATGTGCACTTCTTCCAGGACAGGATACGCATGGCTGAGAAGCAACCACGCTGTGCTTTCTTTCACTAACAACTGCAGCCTGTGCAACATGGGTAAAGAACTAAACCTTAAGAAGAAGTCAGAATGATAAACTTTAAACGTCTTACCTTCTTTAAAAGACGCCGATCACTGATATATCTTCTGTTTATTTCAGTTTACGCGTCACAAGTGTGGACAAAAGTCGCGTAAAATCGCTTTTTTCTGCAAGGAACTTGTGACAGATGGTTTGTTTGGCCACACACAAATACACGCGTGTACCAACGGAAGTCCAGCTAACACACCGACACTGGGAGGTCCGCCCAGCTGTCCATGGCTCCACCCGACTATTATTAGATGAATTTCAGATTATAATTGTTTTCTCGCTGCAAGCACCACCTATAACCACCAGATGGCGCTCTTTACAAGCAAATCACCCTCCCTCCAGCCCCTCCTGGGTCTATCAGGCATCCATGCTATCAGAAACATAAACACACACTCTATAGTCATGTCTGTATTTTACATTTGGCACTATATGATTTGTTGACATCTTTCCTGATGCTCCTTCCATCCTCTCATGGTTGCATACATGCAGTCACAAGAACACAGCATAAATATGGATTGCTTGTGGAGTTGCAAAAGTCTCAGCGGGGAAACAAAGCTGTTACGCTCCATTCTCTGAGTTTCCTACTGTGGCTGTGGAGCAGAGCCATGTTTGTGATCCTCTTATTTCAGCCCCATATATGCCCAAAAACGACACCGGGATTTATAATGCAAAGGAGATCCTTACAGACTGCTCAGCATAAAAAAAGGAAGCCACTCCAGTCATGACTAAGCTCCATCCTGCTTGAGATGGAGAGATTCCTTCCAACCAGATCAGTTTGAGGCCCTGCTGTGCTGAAACTCTCTGCAGAGGCTGTTGAGATCAGTGTGAAACTGGGGCTGCTTCATGATTACTTTCTTTGCTTTGACTTGCCCGTATATGTATCTAAGCTCAATAAGATCTAATTGGTAAGAGAAGTGCTGTATCTCATCTGACATTTCTAGATTTATGGTTGACTGCCACTCACCCTGTGGACCAATTGTGGATAGCCTTGATAAATGGGAGTCAGTGCACTTGGTCATTTTGAAGTAATGCTGTTCCTGTGGGACCAGTAGAAGGAAGCATGCTCCCCCACACCACATATTGCTGTATTTTGCTGCTTTAAGATATTTGTACATTTATGGTGGGGAATTTCCCACTTCATGAATTTAGCTCTGGTTCTCAGGAGCTGGAGTACTGATGGTTTTCATTCAAGCTGTTTAATGAGGAATGAATAGACACTAGATACCAGGAGAATGCATTTAATTACCTTGCACAATAGAAAACAAGTGGCACTGTGGGTCCCAGAGATCTCCATTGGACCCAGTCTCTGCCAGTGTTGCATAAAGATGAAGAACGGGCTGTAATGACAAAAAGAATCTCAGCACATTCACTTTGCTGGGCCAGACAGCAGTCCCTTCTCCTCTGCCTCCTGCCAGAGAGCTCCACTCAGACGCCCTGGCACAAATTATATCAATCACAATACAAGTAAAGATTCAAATCGGTTAGACCCAGGAGGGACAAGGATTCCTCCTTAAGCATTTGATACTAACACTCCAAAGAGAAGATTGATATCAGTTTTCATCTTGCTTTCAGAAAGTTGTCTGTGTTTGTGCCTCTCATGTATTACATTTGCAATCCAGTCAGGGATAAGATCCTTCCTCCAGAAAAATAAATAGTAAATACATAGTGATATTTGAAAACACTCTATCCTCAAATACTCCTAACCATCTAGATAAAACATATCATAAACCATAAAGAAGATTTGTAACCCTTTTCCCAAGTTGCTGCACTTTGAATACACACAAAGATAGCCAAAATGGAAATACCTATCATGCTCTATCTCTAGTGTTGTTACAATATATATTTGTACATGTATATAAAATAACTTTTTACATTTTTCTCATAGAGCAAGGAAATTCGGTTTGGGCTGAATAATTGTGAATTATGTGTTAAATAAAAATAAAAATGTATGGTTGACTTAGCTCCTTGACTCCAATGTTATGGTAATATATGATGCTGGTTACGTGCAACACAATGAAATAGCCATTGGGCCCTCATTGGCTCAATTTGCCATTGTGACTGGTGTGACCCCATTGCAAGATGGTCTCTAGTTTCATTGAGTGCTTAGTGTCACTAACACAACGTTAAAACCACAATGTTGAGATGCTCGAGTCTTCATAAATGGTCCCATCTCAATGTCTAACAAACAACCCAATAAATACTATCTTTAACCATATTATAGGAGGCTTGAATATGGATTGTTTTTCTAGAAAAAACAAATAGCTGTTTTGAAAAAGCACCAGCTTCCATACTGCGTGCCCCAGGTGCTCAAACCTGCAGGAGGTGATTGTTCTCTAAAACCACAGGCTTCCTCTACTACACAAACAATGATGAAGAGTACAACTGCTTTTCTTGACTATTCACAAGAGGAAAGAACAAGCACCTGTATGTGTGATCTGAAATATAATACTCAGAATGAGTTCAAAGCACAGGTGAATAATGAATTAAGACATTATATATGTATATATATATATATATATATATATATATATATATATATATATATATATATATATATATATTTGAATAGGGCATTTAAACACTTCACATGTATGCAATTTCTGTCATTCTTTTAAAAAAAGTTTATGAAATGTGTCATTCAAATCTAAGTGTCTTATAGGCTACTTGAATTCGGATTTTAATACCAAATGGCCCTGTGTTTTTTCCTGTTATGGTTTATTTGTTATTTCCCCCAAAATGTCACGTGACCTAACACACATCTTATCCTAGACCTTTTACTACCCTTTTTTTTAAATACTGTTCTTACTATTCATTCTACCGTGTTCTGTGCTGTTTTATATTGTTCTATGCTTACTGCTTGTAGCACTTCGGGATTTGTCTTCAAATATGAAGTGCGTTACAAATAAAACTTATTATTATTATTATCTTACTGTGCAATGTCATTTATTGTACATTTCTCATTTCTAAAGTGTTTGTCTAGACCTAAGTCAGTATTTCTTTGGAAAGCTAAAGTCACAGAACAGAACACAATCACATTGTATTAGAGCTGCAGCAGCGTGCATGGAATCCCTTCCCGACTCGTGCAGTCTCCTGGGTCAGACCCCCAATTCTGATGTCGACATTGTCTCATTCTCCACGATTTTCCCTGAAGGCATCTCTACTTGTGAGCTCATAACAAAAAAAACAAGCGTGTTTAAACAGAGGATGTCCTCCCATGGTTACCTCATAAAGCACATTATTTATGTCCGAGTTATCTCATGGCAGGTATATCTACAGGGATGCACTCACCAAATAAACACTTGTAAAATTCAGTGCAATATTGAAAAAGGTGAGGCTTGCAGTTGAGTTTGCTGTACCGTAAGAGGTGTTGATACTTACCCCTGAGGACAGTGCAGTGGTGTTGCGTTTTGCTTTAGTGTTTCTGTAACTTTGTGTACAGTGTGAACACATTTGCATGGTAATTGGATTGAAATGCATTATATTGTATAAGCCATGTGCCATCACAACCCTATTATCTGTTCATTATTATCAGTGACAATGATTGTTAAATGGCTGAGAGGAGACATAATTACTGCAGAATTATGAACCTGAATAAAAATAGCATGTAAATACAATACGATATATAACTAAATCATATACGTTTACATTGCAGCAGCCTTATACCATTTTAAATTGATTACTGATTGAATTAACATCAACTGTAGTTTTTAAAATAACGTCATATGATGAAATGAACAATACACATACTATATGTGCTCCTGTGTACCATACACTCATGGACACAACCACTTATATACACGGTAAATATAGATAATGGGAATATTATAGTATTAAGTATAATGGTATACCTTAAAGCTGTTTCAGCCATAGAGAAAAAGCCTAAGTGGCGAATTAGTGATTAAAGCATTTGCCTTTATTTGATTATTATTAGAGACCGGAAACATTGCAGAAATGTCACCTGTTACCTGTAACCCAACCAAGTGAGCTGCAAAAGATATATATAAAATGTAAAAACTGCTGACAAGTTTCAGACAACCCAGACTGAAAAATGATCAAAAATAATATTCCAACCCCAAAAATGCAGCCTAAAGAATGACCAACGTATTGAATCATCACCTTTGTTAAACAACTACATTGAGAATTTTTCAAACTGCATTTCATGTTGCAGCTGCTATTAAAAAAAAACTACTGGTATCAATGCCAGTGTATGAAGTAGCACAAAGGTGAGGATGCCTGGGAAATGGAAAATGGAAGTATTATGGTCTGATGAGTTGTCTTGCATACCCCTTACATCATGTTGTTGGACCCACTGAGGCGGTTCCTCTGTATGGTCCCGTAACAACATTTCACAGCCTGCTTGGTCACCAAATGGAAACTGAAACTTTATGTTCAGTGTGCAGAAGGCAAGGTAGACTCCTCCTTTTTTTGTCCCAAAGATTTCCTTTTTTTTAAGTCTGGTCCGGTATTCTCTTGTAGTTCACAGGACCCGTACATGACCAAAAAAAACTATGTATCAAATGCTTGGTGTCAGAGAACCATCACAATACATCAGCAGAAGAATGCGATAGGACAGGATTAGTAGTCAGACGGCACATCCAGTTCATCCAGATTTTCCTCGTGGCCCGACAGCCACTGATTTATTATCATTAGTCATAATGGAAGAAATATGCAGCAATAGTTACTGTGTATCAGACATCAATTTTCAGTTCTGAGAACAAATGCATTTTGGCAGTAGTAAAACGACAATGACATTAGGTCAGATGAGTGATGATTAAACACTCCACTTCAGTCTCACAACTTCGGTGCTTGAAATGTATTCAGACGCATTCTGTCTGTACTTTTTGAGAGGTGGAGAAAAAGCATTTTTGAATGCTTTGGTGCTACACAAAAAGAAATGACATGTTCATGATACTTTTGGCTAAACACAGAATGATGGCCCTGCATATAAATTTGTTTCTTTCAGCTGCAGGGAAGGCAGATCAAAACCTGCCATATGCTACAATACACAGCTTAAATGGCTGAGAATCTGTATTAATGCACTAGGTGTGGATCACAGAATTACAATATCCATGGCAGTAAATCAAGGCATTAGCTTTATCTGGGTCGCCCAAACTCAGGGCGGTTCACAGTATTGCTTTGATAACACGTGCAGAGAATGATGAAAGTTGGCCAAAAGACATCCATTCACGTGGCAACAAGGGACTTTTAGAAAAAGAACATTAATTATAACAGTCATTTGAAAAACATAACTTCAAGAAATGAAATCTCATGTGGACGGCCATTTTAATGAAATGTGTTGATTTCAGCAGTCACAGTATTATTTGAGTATAACTCTTCCAACTGTAAAACACATGACGTAAACTACTTTAATGGATAAACAGTAGGAGAACACCATTCATAACCCTTTTGTTAGGTGGACAAGAAACTGTGTAATTCAGTTAAACATGTAACTAGTACATTATGAAACACACTGTGATATCACTTTGTTTTAGCTGCAAATTACTGGCTTCATAACAGGGCCGTAAATAACCACATAAATGCTCCCAGTAGCTGAATTCAAACATTACAACACAACTGGTTTGGATACACATTCAAAGTATGATTATTCAAAGCAGCTCATTACTTTGTGCAAATTGCAATATTTTAATACGTACAAGGTCCCAAAATGCAAATTAACAAAGATGGATCACCAATTATATGAGACTTTCTGATTTTCAAGTGCTGGTAATACTTTAAATCTCTTTGTGTCTTTGACACAATAATATCATCTTTATTAAAATATAAAATGATGGAACCAAATTAAATACATTTCTACATACAGAATATTCTAAAATATTCCTTTTTCTCTGAGCTTTTGAAATGCTTGAATGCTTGCTGTATTGCTTCCCACTGCCACACTCGCCAGTCATGTGTTTCAGATGACACGCCAAATTTAGCAGAGCCTATAAATGGCTGCTGGCTTGTGGTGGATGGACTCGGCAGGGTTTTAAGTTTTAGCATCTAGCTGCTGGTTAGGTTGGCCGCTACCCAAATGGACCAATCTGTAGTAAATGGGGTTACACTGCTTCTAAGGTTGCAGATGGTGTTTGAAAGCACACCAAGCTTTTTTTTAAATTTGGAAAAAAAGGGTTGGACACAAAAAGTGGGTTTGGGTGGCGTGCAAGGTTGACACTTTAAAATGAAGGTGATTGTTAACACTCAGTTTGAGGTTGGAATCCATTCTCCATCCTGGTCTCTGCGGAGACAATCATCCTCTAATAACAGTAATCTATCTCCTCGTTGGCCAGGACAATAGCTGTTCTGCAGGGGATGTAGACCTGAGAGAGAAAGAGAGACAAAGGGAGGGAAGAAGGGAGGGAGAAAAGTGAGTTGACAATTGAAGATTAATGATGTTAACGAGATCACCAATTTCGCTGATTATTGAATCTTCACGTTTATCCTTTCTTAGAAGTCAGACGTGGAGACACTCGGTGGTGCCTTCATGATCATTGCTTCTCACAATCAAGGTCGACATGACGGCTTTGTGAAGGGGAGGAGAAGGAGTGAAGAAGAGGAGAATGGGGATGGTGGGGTGTATTCAGAGAAATATTCAGATCTGAACAGAAAAATAACTCTTCAGAGGAGACAGTAGACAAACACCTTAGCTTTGATCAAAGAGGACTGTCAAGGTTAGAGAGGTGTATAATCAAAGTGTGACAGAGACCTCTGGGTGGCAGTGGAGTCAGCACATCTGCAGCTTGTGCCCGTGAGCTCATTCTGTAGCTTCTCATTTCAAGCTCTGCGCTGTGGAGAATATGCATCCTGCCGTAGCTGGCGCTGAACATTTCTTGATCAGTGACTTAAACTGTCTGAAATTCATTAAACACTGCATTCAAAGCACGTGCATGCAAATGAGCAATCCCACTTTAAGTGGGGGCAGAGAAATAATCATAATTTTCAATTCTGAACTCTGCAATCAATGCAATTACTGTGCATTTCATCATCTCCATATATTGGCCGTGCTTCATCTGTAAACTTTGGTTTCTGTGAAGATACATCTGCCAGTGGGCATAAGCCAAGCTAAAATAATCTCCAGAGTTTTGGTGGACTGAAGAAACAAAAAAAATGTCAGCAAAAAAAAATAAGCACACCATGAAAAAAAAAGAAAAAGAAACCGAGCCTGGAAATGTCAGATTCCTTATATATACAGTACAAAGAAATCCTAGTGAGGGTGTTCGTTTGGAGCGGTGTAGCTAATAAAGTCTTTGATCAATCCTTTTGATATTCACAGTGTCGCAAGGAGCCACTGTGTGCCATTACTCATTTCAGAGTTATGCCAAAGGAAAAGCCAAGCAGACATAAATGATGCTATATTTCCCAACAGAAAAGGGAAAAAGAGCGCAGGACTGTAAACAATTCAATCACCCCCTGAACTCGTCAAGACGCCCCTCGGCATCAGAGGATCTGAGCTCGCTGTGGATGTGTTTCTTTGGCAACAGTTTGTCACCGAGGGAGTCGGGCAGCGCGGTGCAGAAACACTGACACAGGCATTGGTGACTAATTAAACAGTCACAGTGGGAGAGTCTCATGCAGGAGCGGAGAGAGGCGAAGGCAGAATGAATCACTGCACCTGTTAAGACAAAAGCTACCACTGCGCCTAACCTGGGATATGTCAACAGCTTTTAATTCCAACAAATAGATAGCAATAGTGACAAATTCCAAATCAATCTGCGAACAAAGCACAGCGGATAGTCCCAAATGTTGGCACTGTAATTAGTCGAAGATGTTCTAATTAACATGTTAATCCTTACGACATGAAGGTGTTATAAATGACAAACATTCATGCTCTACATACTGAAGGACCTGCTACGCATTCACACTTATAATTCAGGGTAATCAAAGAGGAAAAAAAAGGGTGATATATTTCTTATCATATCAAATAGTAGTCTTAATTATTCGAGGTTCCTGGTGCATCATATACGTAAATGTAAGGGCTGTACCGGTGACTTTGTAGATGTTAGCCCATCTACTGCAAATATTTTGACTTTATTTACAGCTGACAATTTTGCTGCCGTGACCTAGACTTTTTAATGCATGCTTTTCAATTCTCCAGAAGAGCATACAATATTTAAATCTGTTGGCGGACCCCTGAAATGTTTTTTGCTGTTTAAACTATCATGATGACTATCAAGGGTTGGACCCGTTTTTAGTTTATGCCTTCTAATTTCGAGCTCCCTTCCATTCATCCGATATTAATGTAAAGTTTCTCAGGCATAATGTCAGTTTAGCGCAATTTCTGCTGCTTAAAAGCAACCCAGTTTTTCTAGCTTTGTCTGATTACAGTTTGTCCAAGCCTTAGCTGCTTTCTGATGAGTCATTTGGTAGGTAGGTGTTTATCAATTCACCGACAGACATATATGCATGAAGCAGATTGCAGATCTAAGCACCAGCAGTTACTACCAGCAGCCAGATCCAAGAGCAGTAACAGTACAACAAAACATTGTGTTCAAATCAGAGCTGAAACTAAAATTGGGGGAAGAGAAAGTGAAATAGTTTGTTTTCAAAGTACATGTATTGTATTAGTAGAAAGTAAGCCAAGGCCATGTTTTTTTTAAAACTTATTTTGTCTTACGGATGTTCTTGCGTTGCCTGGTATCACACTCATGTGAGAATTTCTACTCACTTCAAGAGCAGAGTCTAGCCCTGGGGCTAATACTCAATATGATCAATGTTCAAACACACTGATGAAGGATTCATGAGGTGCTTCTCAGGAATATATCATCCACTTGGTGTCTGAATCCTAACCCGGGCTGCTGGCAGGAGCACAGCCCGACTATCTGTGAGCTTTGAGTCTCCAGGCATGTCTCTGTTTGGATCCATCACTCGCTTAACAAGGATCAACCCCCGTAAGGACTCGTGTGAATGCATCTAAGACTCTAGGTCAGGGCTTCTCAAACTCCGGACCGAACTGCAAATCAATCCGGACCGAACCCTGTGTCCCATTATAAAAAATAAAAAAAATTATAAAAAAAAAAAAAAATTCTGATTCTGATAAATTAATGTACATCATCATGTACGCGCGTCTTGTATCTGACGCGTTGTTATATTTACTTGTGCGAGCGTGACACGCATAGCAGACGGCAAGTTAACTGCAAGTTTACCTTGACATACTGTATGTATGTATTGAATGTGTGTGTGTATACAGGGGCGCCGTTTACCGACAGGCAAGGCAGGCAAAAGCTTGGACCAGAAGGGGGCCCCCAAAGAAGGTAGATTAAGAAGGTCCACAGCAACGACAACATGAAACACCCTTTAATTTACTGCAACGACATGTCGGGAAACTCCATGCATAGAGCGCCAAGAAACTGCTTCTTAATTTCAGTTTCGTTTCTCGGCTCGGGGGTGGGGGGGGGACTTTACTGGCATTGATCCGTACCAGTGACCTTGTATAAAGTTCGCAACTGGACCTTTAATAAAAAAGTTTGAGTACCCCTGCTCTAGGTAATAACATGACCCAGACTTGGTAGGTTAACAGAGTCACAAACTGATTAAACGATATTATCGGTTTCCGTTTACAATTTTGATTTATTTTTTGTAGTTTTAGTTGTTTTGTGATCAGCACTTAATTTTAGTTTAGTTTTGTCCTCCATAGTCACAATAAACAAACATTAAGCTCCTGAACAAAGGAAAAAAAAGTTCTAAAAATAAGGACAGAATTGTAACTTTCTGAGCCAACAGTATCTCAGTTTACAATACAGCTATTGAATAGAAAACTTTTAAATTGCGTTTTTATAACTCCACACACAATAGTTAAATGAAAATACATTGAAATTCATTGTGATCTCCTTGGAACACTTTAAATGTATACTCACAGTGTTCCTTGTTCCATACAGTATACACAGTAGGATCTATCAGTACTGTATATTTGTACGTGCAGGTCCTGTCACAGTTTTATTCTGTAAGTTCACCCTTCAACATCCACCCTTAGATGTTTCTGATGGGAATGTACATCTTTTGATCATTTTCTACAAGCCTGCTTCGTTTCCCTCACTTTCTTCCTCACTTCAGCTTAATTTCTTTTTGTGAAACTGTCAGAGGAGACAAACCCTGTGATGCATGCAAAGTTTATCAAAAGGTTTTGAAGCGGCTAATTATTCATCAGTGTTTCTTAGCATAACGTCTTTGACATTATAACACTCCAATGAAACTATAAATGTGACAAATACCAGCAGGTTTTTTTTCACTCGGAGAGTTTGAGTCTCTGACTACACTACATTTTCGCCTTGCTAAATGAATAAATTGTAATCGTTCAATCGCTGTAATCCTAGTTGTTGATGTGTGAGATCCTCATGAAATGCCCTGCTGAGCATATCAAGCTGTCAGTTCACTCAGATGAAGGCTTACAGTAGCTGCAACATCTTTTGATTTACACAAAGGGAAGAGTGCATTTTCCATACTTGTATTCAGCTTCATTGCAAGCTGTTCAAACATCTACACTCTTCATATTGCTAGGGATGAAATGAAATAAGCCCCGATTCTTTTGTTATAACTAACAAACCCTACTTTAAAAAAAAAAACGATTAAAGGACGGTAAGAGTGAGTTTAAACTGTACATTAACTGACAAAGACAACATAATAAGCTATAACTCACCATGAATCTCAGTAAAGCTGAGATTAGGGGGATCATACTCTGTAGGTTCATCGTCATGCAACTCTCTCACATTTCATACATGTTATTTGAAGTTATAAGCCATTTTGAGCTCAATAATATAGACCCCTACTCAATCCCTCAGAATAAAAGCCAACAGGCCCTCTACAGAGTAAAAGATAAAATAATTGTATTACAATGAGCTTGTATTTAACGCAAAGAAGGATAAACAAGATAAACAAATAAAGCCTACAGGCATTTTAATGGGACATGTGTGCCTACTGTTTATGTGATGAGTGCAAAGCCCCGGGTCTGACTGCACTGACAGGCTGTTCCTTGTTTTATTGGATACTGGGGATGAGAGTCAGCTACAACACACATACTGTAAATGATGTTAACACTAAGAATTGATAGCTGTCTTCAACAAGCCGCCAAAGCTGTCCGTTAAGTTGTTAGCCAAGAAGGGTTAGGTCTGATTTGAGTTCTGTCGGGTTCAGATTCAGGTCTCTCAGACTGGGTTTAGGCTACAGATGGATCAGCATTTCGTTGAGCTCGGTTTACTGAGCTAAATCTTTCCATCGCTAACTCTGACAGTCACTGTTTATCGAATAGTGTTTATTTTTTGTCTCCATCTTCACTTTTGCTGAAACAATGTCAATTTCCCCTCTGTGGGAGGAATAAAGGTATTCTGATTTGATGCGTTTCAATTTGTCTGCTAAATATCCCTTCCCACTGTGCTTGAACTCAACCCAAACTCATCATTTTAACTCATTCATCAATTATCTCAGCATCTACAATAAATGCAGATTGTTTCATTTTAGATTTGCATGGTACTTTAACTTGAACTACTTATTAACCTAACAGCAACCAATAAACAAATGTGCAATTTGAATTATTTGCGGCAATTTTGTATACTACTTCTAATAAGGCACTTTCTATTAAGCAGTTACAGTATAAGTGTTAACTAATGTTTTATTAACCATATCAAAACCATTAGTTACAGCTGATACTACATTTGTAAAGGTTGACTTAGACTAAATCAAATAAATCTAAATATGTTTTATAGCAAGCAAGAAGAAGCATTTCATGTAGTATACTTTAAAATCTTATACATTTATTAATTTGTTATCAATTGAAATATTATTATTTTGGTTTAGTTTGTTTTGAAGAAGATTTTTCTCTTTATTCATTTGTTTAATAATGGAGAAAAGAATCGAAAAAGCTAAGAGATGTAACACAACAACAGTTCAGCAGCACATTGGTAAACACGGTTCTGTTACATGATGTCAGCCTCCCGGGCCACGGGGACGCTCTCGGCTTCTTCCAATTATGTGCAGTCTGAGGAGTGTTGCATTCTTGGAGGGTAGGAAAGTTTGTTATTGCTCAAAAACGGGGAAGCTGGAGAACGGACGGACCCATTAAAAAGACAAGAGAGAGGAAGTTTTGCGGAGACTTTGAAGCAACAGTTGTTAAATAAAACATTGACGATGTTGCGCTGCCCCCACAAAGGCCTTCTCTGATTATTCTTATCATAACCAGGTAGGTGTAAGGAGGAGGAGGAGGAGGAGGAGGAGGTGGTGAAGCATTTGTATGCAAGACTACAGTCTCTATTTGCAATCAGGGTGCCTGTGAAGGAGATACAGTATCCACAGAAGGGTCCCCACCCTGCCGACTCCTTCCACTGCCTTTCATTCCCCATTAGTCCATTAGGATGCCAACAGTTGCAGATGACTTGTTAACTAAACTTCACATTTTGGCCAAGAGGGACGTGGGTGAAGCAGTGGTGTTTGAATGAATAAGAGATTTAAGAGAATGTAGAATTTGAGTCCTTATCTGATGAAACCTAAGCTAATACGATGGAGGATAAGTGTCTGTGTGAAAGAGGCAAAGGCTTTTTAAGGTTAAATAATGTTGAAACGATGCTCTAAATAATTTGAGGTTTTCCAAGCAAATTGTTTAGGCTTCAAAGTGCTCAGTTCCGACTCCTAATATACAGTTAATGTAGAGTGATAACCTTCATCCATTAACTGCAACACTTTAAGTATTGATCTGAGGAGGTTCAAGTTGAGTTCAGGTAAACAAACACCTTATCAGGTGCTGTGTCAACTCTTGTAATAACTGGAGCAGCTTAAGTGCACTGCATGGAGATATTTATTATTTGACTTAATAACCTAAAAAAAACAGCAGGGGAGACGAAGGCTTTCAGACCACTTCCCAGACATCACTGTCCCCACACATTAATCAGATTCATTAACATAAGATCTAACACATGCAATCAGCCCAGTTACAGTTGGAGTGTCTGGGTATCAGTGCTGATCCTCACTAATTCATTCCTGACCTTATTCATAAACATCTTAGGGCCTTTCAGCATTTAATCAAGGAAAGAAATTACATCAGGAGGCAAAGATGGGGAAGATTTTCGAGCACTCGGCTTAACATGCACATCAGTGTGTCTTTCTATATCTCAAGTACCGACCTATTTCATGCTATTAGCGTAAAGCAGTCCCCATGATGGAAGCCCAGTGGTCTGTCCTCCGAGATATCTCTCTCCCCTCTGTGGGGCCTTGTGAGTTTAAGAGGCATTCACATACAAAGGTAAGGTCTAACACAATGAATAATGCACATTGTTTGCTGGAAAATCTGAAAGAGCTGTAGATATCAGACTCCCATAATACCTCAATGACTCCAGGATAACTGCCAACATGAGTAGGAATGCAGATATCATATTCATAAACAATGGATACCATCCCCTGATAGACACATCTAGCCTTTTCTTTTAGAGATGCAGCCACATTTGCTCATTTTCTGGATTCCGCATTAAAGGCTGATCATATTAATGAGGAAGATACTAAATTATAGAGCAGTGGTTTTGCTGAGAGGCCCAGACCAGGGAGATGGTGGCTGTTTGCCAGAACAGGCAGCTCTCTTTCATGACAGCACACTTAAACCTCATTAGAATGGCTTCGAAAAGGATCCTCTCACTACAAACTCCATTTCAAGCTAATTAAATTGATTTGTGAAATCAAACACGAAACATAAAAGGACAACACATTAAAACACTGACAACCATTTTGTCATATTTTGTAATGGCTACAAGCAGGTTGAGTGTACTCCTCTTACCCTGCACAAAGAAAAACACTAAACCACTGCAAACCAACACAACAATATCCACCTGATCAATGAATAGAATAGCTGGCAAGTTTGAGGGCATTACTTGTTATAAACTAATGGCAGTGCAGCAAGGAAAACGTTATGATATTTGATGTGAAGTAAGCTCACTAAAGTACATTTCAAATGGTTAGTAATGTTTCTAATGTGTGAGACTTTCTGCTTCCTATACATATGTATCCTAAAGATACACACTTGTATTTGTAGCTCTTATGAGCATTTTGTGTAACATTAATTAAGGAATTATATTAAAGTGTGTGTCAGGATCCAGGTTCTCATTGGTTAATGCCCTAAATCAAAACAGTCTGCAAATACCACACGTTTCAATGCAGCTAGTACAAATTAAATGCACCTTTCATCCAATTTGTAACAATACGAATTAATGCCAGACACGCGAGTTGTTAAAGCTATTGGCAGAATACATAAGAGGACAACAAAATGCTTGTCCAAAGTTTTAATCCAGCTTTTTTTTCCTCCAGAGATACTCATGAAGCTGTCTCATCACCACCCACAGCTGCTTTTGATACTTTTCAGCTGTGAGCAACTCCTTCATATGGGCACTGCGTTGAGGGAAAATGGCGTCAATCAACAGCACACTCCAAAATCATTTAGTATGCACACTGACATTTTTGAGTACACTTAATTTTGTCACTTTTTGCGGTGTGAATGTGCAACGTCCTCCACTGTTAGAATTAGTATGCAGAGTGGGATGGTGATACAGCATAGGTTATTAGAAAAGTGGCAGAGAGAAGTTAGTCGACAACAATGGCCCAGGACTTCTGATTGGAGTGCACTCCATAGTGAGGATAACAAGAGATGACCTTTGATAAGTCAAAAAAGATTTACCTTTATGGAGTTTTGGCGTCCATTGAATCCGTGGGCCTCTGTGAAGAACTCTGTGTTGTGGTCCAGCCGTCCGTGACCTCCATACAGATGATCATCCGAATCCAGCTTGATTTTGTATCTGACAGAGATTGACGTTAAGGTGCAATAGCAGTGGGAAACTAGATTATAAGATCTAAGACATAGGAAGCACAATAGAAGGTTTTATCACCGGGACGCTTGCCGTTCAGATTTGGTTTAGCAGTGTTCAGCAGGTTTATATTCATTGAAGTCTTCGCATCCATCAGCATTCTTCTCCCCTCCGCAGCACCACAGAGTGACGGAGCGGAGCCCAAACAGACGAAGAGAACGCTGCCTAAAATGAACATAAATACAAAAGTGATTCAGCCATGGCCTAGACATCCTGCCTGCCTTCATGCCTGCATAATCGATCTAATTGACTGCATAAATAATGAAATGCATCAAGTGTTCAATAGGAAAGCAGAAAATACACTGTCCTTAAAACATATTCATTCCTCTAGGACTCTTTTCATGTTTTGGTTTTTTAACAGTGTAATCATTTTGCTTTTTCACATGGTTTTAGATATTGACACATTTCCATACTATTTATTATACTCACATTGATATTTAGTGGAGGCACCCAAAGGCTTTTCTGCATTCAGGTCTGATGTTTACTTATCAAAATGCATCAGCTTTTTACATCCACTATATACTTTGTGTGGAATCTTTCTATGATTTGTGGTACGATAAAACAATGAAACATGTCATCAGTGTGTGGGAAAGAATCAGAATCAAGTTTATTGCCAGGTACGTTTACACATGCTTTGCTATCTGGTGGTGCGAACATAAACCATCCAAATAAATAAGTTGCAAAGTAGGTAGAAAAAGAAAAAAAGGATAATACAAAATAAGTATTTTTAAGAAACAATTTAGCATTAAAAAAGGATGCTAAAGACAAGCATTTACACCAAATTTAAATGTAACTATACAAATAACCGTAAAAGCTAAAAAACCTTAGGACAATGAGTATGGCAAACTACAGTGTATTATATTATATATATATTATATTGTAAAGGGGTGGAGGTGTGAGCAAATGTCCCTTGCTTTCCGCTGTGCTTTTGAACAAGGATGCTCAGACACTGAAGAGCTGTTTGATGGCAGGTTCCATAATAAGGTTGCCAGAGTTTCATAAAATATGTGCGTTCTTGAAGAGCAACCGAGATGGAAAGACATTGCATGAAATATAATATGTAAATCAAGCCATATGCTCCAGTGAACGCTTTAGCATATATGCACCTTTTCCCAAAAGTGCAGAATGACATATATCACATAAGGAATTATGCCCTTAATAGAGATGACTGATTATTGTGATATCTGAATTGTTAGGAAAGAACTCCCAAAGTCTGTCTAAATAAAAGATGTCCATGCACACTTTTGGAAAACCCCTCCTGCTTCTTTAAACTGCTTGACATTATTATAGTGCCCATCTAGTTGCTTGATTTCAAATCATAAAAGACAGATGTCAGAATCAGTTACAAAGACGTTATTAATGTCAGAGGAAATATTGAAGACATTTTAAAAGCCTGATTTAAAATGCAAGAAAGTGCACTTTGACGGGTGCGTACATTAATATATCGTTCAATGTGAAAACTTCTCTCCAGCCAAAGAATTGCAAATCTCATGCCAGTCAGAAATGCTTAGTAAAGCCTACATGTGCTCCCTGATGTCTAATATATAAATACTTCTGAACAGGAGCGCAATGCATTATTTACTCTACAAGTACTGTAACAAACACAAGGGAAGATGAGCAGACATGTAAACAGCCTTTTTATTGGCTGGCAGAATAATCATCTTATCTCCCCAAAGGCATTATGGTGAAGTGTGATGGGACCCTCAAACACTACCGCATTGGGCCCCAGAGCTGGGGAAACTCTGCTTTGCTGCTTGCTTGTCTTCTTTGATATCGATGATTAAAAAGAAGCTGCTCTGTGCATTGTTCCTCCTGAGGAAGAAGATCCCCCCCCCCCCTTCACACCTCCACTGTTCTACTTCCCACTATGGTGTTTTTTTGACAGAACAAAGTCCCTCTGCCCCAAAGGCTTTACAACAAGCATCAGAAGAATGTGGAAATATTCTCTCAGGGGTTACCATGCTTCTGGGAAACTGAAGATATGTCATTTCAAAGGTTAATCCTCCTAATACAAACAATACAAACCTTGACATTAAACATTCAGAAGGTGCTTGGAATGCCAATAACATGTTTCAGACGTGATGCGAGTGTAGTCACACTACAGTGGTGTTCCACTCTGCTTGTTGTGCTTTTGCAGTCTTGTGGATAGCATAATGTAAGTGTTCAAGTCTGTGGCACGCACAGAGCATTCTGGAAATAAGGCATAGTTATAGTAATTCAGATTCCCTGGCAAACTTCTCAGTAAAGGAAGCGAGGACCAGCATAAATTGGTAGTTGAAAGCTTTGAGCGATTACGTCTTTGTTAGAGGCTGCAACAACAGCTTGCAGTTCAGCTGTAAAGTATTGTAATCCATACAGCCTTTGTGAATAAAGGGGAAGGATTTAAGAACACAATCAATTTTGCTCAATGAGCAGGACAAAAAAAGGCAGTCCGCAGCTTGATCATTAGAGCCATCGGTGAAAACAATCTGGCCACGACCATGATTGCATGCAGGCTGTGCCACTTAACAGCACCCTGATGTGGGGGAGCAGCATCTGAGCCAAATGCGAATACAAGTCTGAGGAATGTGGCATGGCCTTGCAATCGTTCCAAACATTATCCTGCCTTTCCAGGTTTGACTTTTCCCTGCCTTCCGCTCAGTCGGTGCAAGTTACATCAGAGAGGAAGAAGTGGCAAAACAGTTTCTGTCACAGTGGAAAACAGACCGGCTCACAAGTAGCTGCAACTCAAAGAAACTGTGGTAAAGTGAACCCTTAAAGACTTTTGGTTTCAAAATAAAGATATGTCCATCATTTGGTGTTAAGAGCATGGCAGCTTAAAGTTCTGTTTAACAGCCTTCAGTAAACATGTATCATGGTAACTTTGTTGTACTGAATTGTTGCTAGAAGCTTATAAAAAAAGATAAGCATCATTTAAGGTAGTACATATGAAATTAAAGTGTACCTATTAAATATAACTATAGCTATACATTTGAACAAAAAAAACCATTATTGTTGGAAAGGGCTCAACTGCTATGTATGGCTGAGTATTGGCAGTGGTCAAACCAATAGTTGAATACCATATTGGTCTTTTATCATAGAGCTAATCATCAAATGGACCAAACATTGGTAAAAGAGTTATTAAATGATGAAACACGTTTTACAAAAAACCCTCACCTGCCAAATGTATTTAGAGGATTACAAAAAATGAAGAAAAGGTAAATGAATCAGTCAGTAGTCCTTTGAAGAAATACATCACGGTTTATATTCTGATTTATTGGACCATCTTCGACCTAACGCTGTAGTTGTAGTTTTCCTGTGGAATGAGGGATTAATACCATGTTTTTTCCCAGTTATTTTAAGAAGAGGGATTTCATTGATCAAGGGTTGTTGCTGATGATTTTTGGATGTCAGATTACAATCCTTTTGGGCGTTCATTGTCTGATCCATTGAACCACACCAATTATTTCAGTTTAGAAAGGGAGCATGATTGTGTTGATCTCTGGTTGGTGAAGTTTGTACTTATATGGAGATGTTATTGTTGTTGACGAGCATGCTGGTTTTTGGTGTGGTTTATGCTCTAAATTCAATTATTTATTTAGGAGTTTTGAGTGTGTTGAGCTGCAGATAATATTCGATGCATCAGATATCTGCTTCATTTACTGGAAATGAAGCCTTAATGCTTTAAAAACACTCAACCCTCACTGAATGAATGGACTCACTCCATTGAAATGAAGAAGAGGGTTATTCTTCTCAAGTAGGACTCAAGACTTTTATAGACTTTACAAAGCTGTGCCGTCATGTGGTTTATTTAACCTTCAATACAAGCAATAAAGCTTTTCTATAACATACATACATAACATAACCATGTCTGCAAATGAATGAATTACTTTATGAAGTAGTTTTCAAGTATTGTATGTGTTCTCATATATTGTGCAGTTACAAAAATAGCTAAACAGGCGTATTTACAGAAATATATGTACAACATCTCTGTTATTATAAGGACTAAAAATAATTAGCTCTGGAGAAATGTTGGTAAAAACTACAAAAATAAGACCGAAGTTACAACAACCTGGAGTGTCCCTTAATTCCTTAAAAAAAATGCTTCTCCTATTTTTGTCATTTCAAACCGACAAAATGTGTATTTCAGATTAAGCCCCGGATTGATGAGGATGTTTGTGGATGATATCTGGTAGAGTTACAACCCACAGAAAAAATAAATGCTACTTTGTTTATGCAATCCATCTTGATGCATCATAAAGAAGGCTGTGGTTAAAGAAAATAGATGCATATTTGCCATTTTGTAAAATAACATATCCTGTATATTCTGGATAATATCAGATTAAATTATTGTCACCTATGCACGACTGCTACTTTATTCCAGTTAGTTAGTGTCACGGCACCTGTGATGAATGATTCCAAATGGCATTCATAGAACGACAGACAGAGAGGAGAAAGATGACCTGACATAATCTCACCTGCCTATTGGCACAGTGTAAATCAAAGAGCAATCTGCCCTGACAGCTACAGCTTTCATGACGGGATCCAACTGGGATTTCAGATACTCTAACCAGCCAGATAAAGCCTAGTGCCTGAAGAATGTGTCCACCATGAGTCAGAGACAGAAAATATTAAAAAAACATTGACGGTTTGAATGCCTGTCGGAAAGCTGATGCATTTTAATGGGCAACATTTTGGGTGAGGTGCTCTGCTTCACTTTCTCTCTTGTTTCTCATGGCGGGAGGAATAACAACCCATTCAAAAGAGGACAATGATAAGCAAAATAAATGCTTGTCACTGTGCATCAAACTAAGGAATGGTGAGGAAGGACTGTGTTGAATTTTTATTTATTAATCTTAAAGAGCCCCTATTATGCTTTTTGCTGTTGCCCACTCCTGTAGTGTGTCAAATAGGTTTTTGTGAATGTAAATGGGGTGCAAAGGCTAACATCCCAAATTTCACGACAGAAGGAATGCTCCAACCCATTGTACGTGAAAGGTTAAGGGGCGGGACATCTCTAGGCGGTTGACCAATCACAACAGAGCCGGCTAGCTAACCAATCAGAGCACACTGGGCTCTGGTTTCAGACAGAGGTTGAAAAGAGGTGCTGCAACACAGGCAGTATGAGAACAATAAAGACCTTTTTGAACATTAAAGCATGGAAAGGTGTCACAGTAGAGGCACTAAATACAATTTTAACCCTGAAAATAAGCATAATATGTCCTCTTTGAAGTTCAATTATATATAAGATGTATAGTTCCATATAACCCAGACAATCTAACCACAACTATATCAACTTGTTCTCAGAGCAATAACGACTAACTGACTAAACTAACTATTTTTTCGAGAGTTTCTATGTATGATTAAAACAACAAAACTATGCAAACGGCATGCCTTTTTAACAGGGCTCCAACCGGGCAACATTCTGCCAACCTCAGATGTAACCACACGGACAAACAGTCCACAAAAGGTAACTTATATCCGTTCTTTGCTGCAGAAGGACATCCTCTGATATGATATCCGGCTTGCCACTTTGCCAAAGGAAATAACACCCTGTATTGGATCCATTTTCAGCGGTGCCCAGCATGGTCAGCCGCATCCAGCTATTATTTCTAGATGGAGCAGTGGTGTGTGGCTCCACTGTGACATCCCTGACCCTCGCAGGTAGTAGAAAGTGTAAGTATATGACAGCTGAGTGTAATGAAAAGCCACTTTTGGACTCTTTGAGCTCGTCTTGTTTACCTTCTCTGCCTCTGAGTGGCACTTTCATCTGTCTTCGCCCCTAATTGGATCCTCTGCACACATTCCCTTCGGAGGATCTGCATCTCCTTATGCACACGGCGCATTTACCTTCCTCACACACACACAGCAGATTTGCCTTTATGTGTTTACTGCTTCTCTGTATAATGACAGCCAGAGCTTTGCCCTCACATTTATTTGCATTTCCTCTCAACCCACCCAGTGTCTGAGGCCGCTTCTTAGACATCAAAAGAGGCACCAGGAGGAAAAGATGTGGTTCCATCTAAATGAAAATAAACCCTCAAAAACGGTGTTACAGACACTGTGCAGTAAGGCTATTAGTGGTGTGCCCGAGATTCACCCCATCAAGGCAGAGCTGGCAACACGAGGCAGAAAGAACAATTACTGCACATCAAACAAGCTTATAATTAACGCATGATGTTAAGGGGGTTGCTACTGTTGTATTTTAATCATTAAATTAACTTGATTATTGTTCGGGGTCACTATTTACAATCAACAACATGTTTTTGTTGTTTTTTGTGCATGGTGATTAACACTAGCAGAATATATTTCTATATTGTTCTTCTGTCAGTGACATTATAAACTAAATATCTATCTAATAATTGCCAGATAATGTAATAGAAGCAAAATGCAATATAATTCCCCTTAACTGATTTCAATGTTATAAAGCATACCGCTTGTTAATATAATGATATCATCTTGCTGATACTTAAATTAGGGCTATTTCATTACATGTTGTCACAGTTCTTTTCGTTTATTTTAATTATAAGAAATACTTAACTTATCTTAGCCTTAACATTTAAATGACACAAAGAAACTAATGTTGGAATCAAAAGGAACCACTGCTGCTTAACAGCCTTATTATCAGCCAATGGAATCATCATCATTTGAGAGTAAATTGCTCATGTGTAGAGCTTTTCACCACAGGCATCCAGAGGAAACTAACAAACTCACCATCATATTATTTTAGTCATAGCTGAAAAAGCAACGCGGCATTGTATCCAGCCGGGAAACTGTTGGCGGTATCTCTAGAGGAGAGTGATGTCCGTTATAATAAATACAAATCTGTCAGCTTCCTGTCCCCCCTTCACATCCCTGATCATTAAGCCTACTGCAATCACAACTGTGGGACTCATTAAATTCCTCCGCTCTGCTCGCTGCGAAGACAGACGCCAAATACCGCTAAAGAAGCCGCAATCTGAATCACTGGGCTCTGCTATTATTTCCCTCTGATAGCATTACCACACTAGTTCAAACCACTGACCCATTCCATACCACAGTGACTGCTTAGACTATATCGCTAAAGTATTGGCTTCAAAAAGAATACCGCCATTACAATTCCTTGTGTTCACAAGTCATATTTAGTTAGTCAGACATATTGCTTAGATCCCTGATCCACATGTCAGCGCAGAGCAATGCATCTTCTCAGAGATTTTTAGCATCTTCAATGCCCTTTAAAATGTATTAGTGGATTCACTTTGAACCAAGTCGAGCGTTCAAACTCATATCAGCAATTAAAAGTGAAGATGACTGGTGAAACTATATAAGTGAAAACTCATGTACAGTATATGTTACTGCCTCAGGGACCAGTTAAAGTGCAGCTAAACTCCAGTGTCTGACGGACAGCTATGTATTCAAGTAAGATTATTTTATTGCAACTCATCTTACTCTAGTATGTGATACTAAAATAGGAGTTAAACACACTTGCTACGTCATAATGGTTTGTTTTTTAGATCATTGTTGGATTACATTATGTTTGTATTGTTGTTAAAGTTGTGGACTTAAACTAAAATAAATTATGACTTTTGGTTTCACACAGGAAAGGATAAGCTGTCTCCTAGGTTATACAGTAGCTTGACCTGCAAATGTGTTATACTGCAGATCAAAACTTAATAAGAATATATGTTTATGGGAACATAACATTCTGTATGCTGTTTCCTGTTTTTTTTTGTGGACGTTAAATACAGAATATTGCTACTCTTATCATTTAAATGTCTGTGCAGCCACAGTAGTGGCATTGTAATGTTAGCAAATGCCGATCTGATGAGAATGTGGCCACTGGCTTTGGTGCTGGACGAAAGTAAAAGAAGAACTAGAGTTGATAAGATATATCCACTGGTGACTATTAATGTACTTACTAAAAAGTTGTTGACCTACTTCATCTCACTCTGGCCCAAAGCTCTGCACAGACATGGGCATTCCCAAAAACGTTTACAACTTTCTTTTAAGCTTTGAAAGTGTTAGTGTGCACACTGCACATAGATCATACTTCCCACCTTACCATTGCTGCCCTTCCGGACTTTTTAAAGGACATTTACTGCTTCTGTTGAAATATTTAGCAGTTAGCGATTTTGTCAACCCTAAAATATTAGTCACGTTGTTGTATAGAAATAAATAACAAAGACCTCTTTACTTTAAGAGGCCTTGAAAGTGTGACAGAAGAATGCCAATTCCTGAATATTTAAAGGAAAACAAGTTTTGCCATGACAGACGAAAGCTAAAGGATACGTTCCTGGAGTTTCTACAGCCACCCTGTAGTCCTGGAAGCTCTTACTGGGGTTGAAGTTGAAGATAAAGAGCACACGTCCCCGCTCAAACACAATGACCTTGTCCTCTTCATGCTTGGCGCTGACAAAGGCCTGGAGGGAAAAAAGAGAAAAAAAAAGGCTTATAAATTAGTTTGTCATGAATAGTAACCCCCTTTCCCATCTTGAATTTGGAAAATTGACACATACTGTATCAGTGGACTATCCTGAAATAGGCTGAGTAACGTTCCTACATCAAATTTCAGGTGGCACTCCTCAGCAGAACGTGGCAGTCCAGGACAGTGCGAGACACACACTGTCAGCTCTAGACAGCTGCACATTATGAAGCCACCACTCTCCTGTGGAGCGGGCTACTGTTAACGTGTCATTAGCAGAGATTATCAATGTCACCCAACCCCCTATTTTTAGTGCCTTGTTCCTCGAGCCAATTTCAGGGCAGCATATTCACGGCTGAACGAGAAGATAAGCACCCCAGCAACTAAATCTGCAGAGAGGATGGAGGTTAGGGATGAGCTGACAGTCTGGAGTCTCTCACCAAGTCCATTTCCAGTCCACACATTTGGGGTAATCCATTGAGTTGTGACCCAAGGTAAGGAAAATATGCATTCTCACCTTAATAATTGTGATTACATTTGGAATCTGTTAATGTTTGTTAGTTTCTATTGTTTTAATTACCTATCCGTCCCTGCCTCCAGCATAAGTCTGACCTGAAACAGCACCTTTGGGTAAAATCTTGGCCAATGAGAGAAAGGTAAATGCTTACAGCAGCACCATTTGTGACCTTGGCACTGAAATCCTTTTGCAAAACCACAGTTGGAATGTAATATTTATACAACCCTCCTTCCTCGCTCTTTTTTTCCCACTGGAATGTAGGTTAAGGCCATTGCAGGTGCAAACAGCACAGTTGGTGGAAACATGGTGATGAAGTCTCTGCACTAACAGGAGCTGCAGTTCATGTCCAGAGTTCGGCCTTTTGAAGCTCACAGCTGCACATCTTCAATGAGGCGTTCACAAAAAACACTTTTAAGCAAAGTCCCTGCATGTTTTAAAAGCTCTTAATGGTTTGGGACCGGCCAACATTACAGGCTCTCTCTGTCATTTTATAATCCAGCAAAAACTCTCAGATCTTATGCTGCTGGGTTTTTAAATACACACAATTATACACACAGGAAAAAAGCAGCAGAGCTTTTTTAAATATTTGTTTTATCTATGCTCCAAAGCTATGGAACACCCTACCAAAAGCTAATAGAGAAACTGGCTCTATTAACTTTTTTTTAAAGATAAAAGCCTATTGATTTATTTGGCTCATAATTAATGTAATTCTTATTCCTTTATAAAAACATTTAAATCAAAATGTGTTGAAATAAACTTGACATTTTTTTATATATTTTTGTATATACATTTTATTATTATTATTATTATTATTATTATTATTATTATTATTATTATTATTATTATTATTATTATTATTATTAATAATGTTCCCTCTTCTCTAACCTGAAAAAATAGATCCTCATCTGCTGCTCATTTCAACTACATAACGCCCTTGGATCCTCCCACCTCAGTGTATTATTGAACCGAGCTTAAAAATATTCCCACTAAGCATGAAATCCCTGGCAACGTCATTGAGAAGCAGAACAGAGGACTCAAGACTTATCTGGTTATTACAGCAAAAATGTCTGAGCAGTTATTACCGTAATCTGTAAGTGATGTTCTACAAAGTATTTTTGTGATATTTTATCAATTCCTGAATGAGCCATTTTTGTCTCCACTGTCAAGATACCGGAGCACAGGGTCAGCCACAGAAACAGATTTATTATGTATTGCTTCACACTGCTTAGGTTTTACAAAACACGTATTTTAATATTTGCGCCTACTTTACCTCACCTCATCCCAATTGTACCTTCCAATATAGGATTTAAAAAATATGTTTTAACTCCAGCTGGTCTTTTGGCACCAACAGTTTACAGTAAGCTGATTATAACGTTAAACAATACAAGTATGTCAAAAACATTGTTACCAAAATCTTTACTTTATGATCATAGCAAAACACTAAATGTATGCAGATCCTCTCTGGCCTCCCCAATCTCTAACTGCCCTAATTTGGTTTTATGCTCAAGGACTGTTCAAAAGATTGGCCTCTTGCTATGGTCATAAACAATAATAATACTCAAAATAAAAATCTAAGAATAATAAATCAATCAAAGATCTAAATAACATGAAATCTTAAGAATATGGTGTAATCCTCTATATGATTCCACATATTGAAGGCATATAAACACCACCCTATGTGTAGCAGGTCAGCACTGCTGCCAAATGTATGCGTCTTCCCTGCCAGTAGCATCCTTTGGCATCTGAATTTCCTTTCATTCCCCCAACAGGGAGCTCAGAAATCAGCCAGGTTCTGCTTTCCCTTTGCCTTACCTCCAACACTCTGTTTAATCCACTTGTAAAGGGTGTTCCAGTAAGTTAGAACACATTTCTCATTGATGTACCAAGGTACAGAAATTAAACATGTGAAAAAGACTAATTATGCTCTGTGATACATTTCCTTCTGGGCAGCATTTGTGTGTCTGTCAGTGAGAAATACGCAGGTCAGAGTGTAACGCAGCAAGGTGAAGTATAGCTCTGATCTGAAGACTCATTTCCAGGTTTGAGGGAGGGTCTTTTTTTTTAATCAATTACACAGACTCTTGATATTTTATCAATTCCTGAATAAGCCATTTTTGTCTCCACTGTCAGATACCGGAGCACAGGAACACAGAAACAGATTTATTATGTATTGCTTCACACTGCTTAGGTTTTACAAAACACGTATTTTAATATTTGCGCCTACTTTACCTCACCTCATCCCGATTGTACCTTCCAATATAGGATTTAAAAAATATGTTTTAACTCCAGCTGGTCTTTTGGCACCAACAGTTTACAGTGCTATATAAGCTGATTATAACGTTAAACAATACAAGTATGTCAAAAACATTGTTACCAAAATCTTTACTTTATGATCATAGCAAAACACTAAATGTATGCAGATCCTCTCTGGCCTCCCCAATCTCTAACTGCCCTCATTTGGTTTTATGCTCAAGGACTGTTCAAAAGATTGGCCTCTTGCTATGGTCATAAACAATAATAATACTCAAAATAAAAATCTAATAATAATAAATCAATCAAAGATCTAAATAACATGAAATCTTAAGAATAAGGTGTAATCCTCTATATGATTCCACATATTGAAGGCATATAAACCCCACCCTATGTGTAGCAGGTCAGCACTGCTGCCAAATGTATGCGTCTTCCCTGCCTCCCTCAGGTTTTGAGGGAGGGTATTTTTTTGAATCAATTACACAGACTCACTTCTAATCCCTGTCAATTTAGCCACACTCCCCATTTGCATTATCCCATTACTTTGCAACCAGCCCCTGAAGAGAAAAACACTTATTTTTGTATTCCATAGACTTCAAATCTAGGCAAAGAGAGAGGCTGCAGGATGAGAGAGAAATCTATTACTGTTCACCTTGACAGCAGCCACAGAAACAGGGACATCTGCAAAATGAAGTCTTTATGGAGCATTTATCTCCACCTGAGTACTCTCCAATATGAGAAATTGTAAAGGTGTGTAAAGATGGGGGACAGGAAATACATTTATCCTAAAAAGAAATAATCATATATAGGTTTAATCATTCATAAACAATTGGCTTAGACACCAGAAGTGTTTACAAGGAATACATATCCTGTAAGAGACTGAAGAATGGTGCCTTGACAATATATTTGTATGGGGTTTTGTCATTGAGAGTGTCAGCACAAAGCCTACTGTACGGTGAGTGTGTGTGATGTCCTTACCGGGGGGGCAGCCAGCCAGCCGTACTTGTCTTCAGTTAGGTTCATGTCTCGGTCAAAGACGAAAAGCTGATGGTAGCGCAGGTTACCCATATCCAATAGGTTAAACTGCCGTCGGGCATAGTGGTAACTCTGATCGTTCCCCTCTCTTGGGAAATCCAGCCACTCAGGATGGCCGAACTCATTCCCTGCAACACAGAGAAGGTTATTAAAGAATGTACATAATGAGGGGGAAGGCGCACAGTCTGTCAATTTGAAGACTCTATCATGCCATGTTATGTGAGGTTCTTTTCAGATTTTCTGCAATTTTTAACAAGACAAAAAGAGAACGATCAAAGAGACAGGAGTCTGCGACAGTTTCCGACCTTCTTGTAACCCCAGCAGAGGTTAGTCATTTCCATATTAAAACAGAACCACAATGCTTCTGATACTTTTTCACTGCAGCGTGCCAACCTCCCTGTCACCCAGGATCATGAATAAAACTTGCAAACAAGTGAAAACATTGCAAATAAATCCCATAGCTTTCATTTAGGTCTCGTATATTCAACAAATATATGCAAACATTATTCACCAGGATATATTTATATATTATTTCTGCATAACAGAGAGCAAACTAAAAAGCAAATGTAGGAAATGGGTAGAATTTTCAGAGAACTATTCATATGTCTGACACAAAGAAGGACTCTCTCTAGACATCTCCAAACTGTTGTGTAATTCATATCTATTAAAGCATTTACTTATTTCTTAAATATTCGGTCAACCCAGAACTACTGACTACTCAGAAAGATCTTAACTAAACATGTTTGTATTACAAAGGGAAACAGGAAGTGCTACAGTAACAACTTCAGACGGGCAGCTTGGAGCAGAAAGGGTTACACAGTCCAGATGTAAAGCTGAATGCGTACTGCTGTGGGAAACAGCGGTCCTGTTTCTACAACGCTGTCACGCTGGGAGATGAGATAATGAATCCGTCATCGGATGTCACCACAACATCATAAAACAACAGCCAGGATAATTGAATTCCCGGCAGAGGAAGAAACACACAGGCGAGAAGCAGAGGAAGATGCATGACAAGAAGAAGAAGAAGAAAAAATACAGGCTAGTTTATTTGCTGCTAAGAGCCCCCGACTATTAAAAAAAAAAAAGAGTGATGGGATGAAGTGGAACAGACAGGGTCTGACAGCGGATTCTAATGAAATACATTATGTAGGTGTTAAAGAAGTAGCAAACAATAAGGCATGGACTGCCAACTGAACAAGCCCACTGCAGCACTGAATTAGGGCAGCAAAGACAGGCAGAGAGAGCTAGAGAGAGAGGAGAGAAGGAACGAGAGAGCCTTTTCTTGTGACATCTGCATGAATAACAAGCCTCCCACACAGCTGAACTTGAAATGTAAAGGAGAAAATTACACCCCAGACTTGCAACACTTGCAGTCAGAGGCAGGTTTTCTTCCCTGCACTCCAACAAGAGCAATGTGTACACTACACATTCATTGTGCATTGGAAATGACTGTTTTCAACAAGCCTCATCGTGCACAGGACCCATATTTTTTTGTAGATTTGTGAAAACGAATTAAAATTGTACGCCTCACACATTTAATTACTTCGTGGATATGTCAAATGTCAAGCGGTTTCTTCAGAGAGGAACATCTACCTAAAACACAGAGGCCAAGTCCATAACATTTTAACGTTAAACATTCTTAAATATAAAACGTTGATTAAATGTCCTTATTTTTTAAGTTGTAGTCACCACTATTTTTCTAAAATAAAGTAGAAGACCAAAGTTGAAGGAGATGAATCATACATTTGTGTGGCTGTGTTAGTACCAGACCATTAGATGAGAATGTTTTCTTCATAGGTCATAAAGTCAGAAAAATAAATAATATACTTGTCAAAAGTAAAATCTGATATATTTGTGAGACCATTAAAGGTTTAGCCTTACTGAAGTGCAAGAGAGAAGGTCAAAGGATCAAAACCATTCGGTGTGTTCTTTGTGGGAGTTTGAATCGATACCGTTCATTTTGAGTGAGATGACGGTTGCACATTGCACATGGATGTGTCTCGAAGTGAGAACAAATATATTTTAAAGCACACCATGGTGTTTTATGGATAATAATGCTGCTTTGGATAGCTCTGGATCATTTGGTGTGACTATCTTAATAGATTCATGTTGCCTAAAAAAGAAATTAGATGATGTAATGTAGTTCCTTTTCCAGAGGGCTGCATTCCCAATTCCTAGAAATAACCACAGACTGTAATTAGCCTGCACAGCGTTGGTTCAGCCAATCACAATGGGTCTTTCGAACACTATTGGATAGACCTATTTCCAACACTATTGAATAGACCCATTGTGATCCTACAGGTTATCTAACCAGTGTCACCTCAGTGCCGAGCACGCTGCAATTAGGACCAAAAACAACTAAGAACCTATGTGTCATCAGATGACAAGAAGAAAGTTTGCGATTATAGCTTCCAACACCTCGTATAAAGCTCAAGAGCTCTCACAAAGAGGATGGACAGGAAAGAGGGATGTTATACTGTAGTGTGGCAGCAGTTATGCAAGGCAGCACAGAACCTTAGCGCTGTGTTAGCAGATGAAGACAACTCTGTGATACTTGGCAGGACTGAAGACAATGCCCTTTCTGAAATGTCGGTGAGAGTTTCACAGTGTTCTGAAGTCTAAGAACATCCGCAGTAAGCTGCAGCATTGTTGGTAGAATCATGGCAGGAGTCGCTTAAAGGTTAAAGCTTCCAGATTAGACTGAGTTGTTTTTGTTCCTGCCGTAGCAACACAAATGAGCAATTTCACCACGGATGTTACAGCCGCTGAGGGCTGTGTCACGGCCCTGACCACCAGTCAGCAGTTTATATGTCTAGTAGGCATGACTGCCCTCAAGCAAAAAGACAATGAAGTTCTCATGAGTGTTCTTCCGTCCCCAGAGGGTGTCAAATGTCAATCTCCCTGGTGTCCTCAGAGCCCAGAGGATGAAAGACTCCACTTCAAGAAGCTTCCTCAGCTGTCTGAATTATCCTCTTTCAACAACAACAACAACACCACTGTGCGGAATCGTTTGGTTACTAATGTGTATTGACCTGAATGTCTTGTATTGAACAATTCGACGCCCTTTTAGACAGTGAAGGAAAGTAACAAAGTACTTTACTCAATAATTGTACCAAACGAATGTAAGATACTTCTACTTACTTAAAGGAGAGGTGTCATGGCCATTTCCACTGATCATAATTCCATTGTTGAGGTCTACTAGAATAGATTTATACTGTGCATTTTTCCAAACTCACATTGGTTTCTCATACAGCATCTCTGTAAACTACCTGTATTCACTGAATTTCACTCTCTGCCTTTAACGGCTCGTTGTAGCTCCCAAAGCTCCAGCCCCCACCCTCCCTGTGAGCACAGTCTGATTGGTCGGGACGTTGTGAATCGCGCTGAGCTCCGTGGAGGTGTTGTTTCCTTGTTTAGGATACATAGCGAAACACAGCCAAACTCATCCTGAGCACACACAAACTCACAGCCGAAGTAAAAACAATAAGTGTGGCTTGATATTGAGTAAGAAAAAGGTTGATAAACGCTGTGAGAATGGGTCTGCAGAGAGAATTTTGCCGCGATCCCAACTGTCTGTTATCAGCCTGCAGCCAGGGAGGAGAAATCAGCAGAGCTGCCTGCTCCCTGCACACAGATGTGTGTGTGAGGAAGTCCACGGATTGGTCCATTTCGTTCCGGGTACGGCTTGACATCATGCCGTCCCGGAAGAATCAAATGGACAATGACGTATCTCCAACGAGGCGTTTTGGGGAGGTATTTTCTGTGTTAGAGTTTTACTCGCTACAGGGTGTACTTTGAGGGTTTTGACTCTGCACACCGTTTACATGCATAAAAACCTTCATAACATACAAGGGGACGGGTAATAACCGGAAAAGCATGACACCTCTCCTTTAAGGGTTTAATTAAATAATGATTTCTATTTTAATCTGATCCATTTCAGAGGTAGTACTCTGTGCTTTTTACTTCACCACTTTTTCATCCCATATATTACTAGATAATTTGCGAAAGAAAGATCCTACATTATAATGAGCATTTGCAATACAATGTGTTGTTATACAGTATAATCAACCACACACACAGTAGATCATTAGTAAGCCTTTTTGCAACCAGTTACAACATCAAAATGCATCTTCCATGGTTCTGCATGGATAATAATAAACTAATATTTAATAATGTATGAATGAGTTATTTTACTCTCATACTTTAAGTAGATTTCCTTAATTTTACCTGGGGGTTTTTCTCCACGTGTGCTTTGCCCTGGGCGCTAGGAGTTTGAAAACGTGTAAGATGTGAACATTTGACAGTCTTTTTTGAGAGTTTTGTTCAATACAACCTCCTTATTTTGGCCGTTGCAGGCTTTCAAATAAATAGTATGGCTAAGGACATGCTACAATTTGACAACCTTCTTTCAAGAAAAAACCAACACATTTTCTTGATTTTCCTTCCTTTTTTACAAAGGCAGTCGTAGTAAGCTTTTATTCTCTGGATTCAGTGGCTTTCTCATGATATCAGGATCTCAACAGGGAGCAATGGCATACAAGAATACTCTCAAACACAGTGCTAGAGGCTCCTCCCTTTAAATAGCACCTAAGGAATAAGCCCTATTATTACCTCGGGGAACACAATCTCAAGGAGAATATAAATCCACATTCAGATACTCTTTCACTGCCAGGCATCAATATGAGATGCTCGATGCATAATTTACTGTTTTGGTGTATCTGCCCCCAGTCTGACTCGACAACATCTACAGTACGTTTGAGTTCCTTCATTTCCCAGAATGACTTTCGACACGCCCTAGGGAAATGGTCTCTCTGTGTTGCACTGTGTTGCATGTAGCAGGTGAAGGAGAGCTCACTCACACTAGTAATAAACATTTAATGATGAAGTAAAAGTGAGAGATGGATCAATGTGTGTAATGCACTGTTAAGACTGCAAATGATATGGTTGTAATTCACACGACATAGACAACACAAACATGAAGGTGTAAGGGTTGCGTTCCATTTCCATGCAGGTTTTGAGGACGCATCGTATTGATATAAGAATGCTAAAACTACTTGTGCTGTTCATAGACAAAGGAACCCGTGGAGCTGCAAAAACAAATTTGGGATGGTGATAAAAAGTCTCAGAG